GACCAGGGGTCGGGAGCCCCGCAGCTGCCCGCTGCCCGGCCATCCACCCCTGTCCGTCTTCCCTTCCAAAGATCCTGCAGCACCAGGCAGCCCTGCTGGCGGCGGCCCAGGGCCCGGGCCTGGGCCCGGTAGCGGCGGTGGCAGCCCAGATGCAGCATGTGGCGGCCTTCAGCCTGGTGGCCGCACCTCTGCTACCTGCAGCAGGTACCGGGACGCGGGCGCCCGGGGACGGGAACCAAGAGAGGACAGAGGGTGCCTGGGGACGGGGCCGCGGCCTGACTTTCCGACATCTTCCACCACCAGCAGCCAACTCCCCAGCCGGCGGCGGCCCTGGCACGCTCCCGGGTCTTCCGGCGCCCATCGGGGTCAATGGATTCGGCCCCCTGACTCCCCAGACCAACGGGCAGCCGGGCTCCGACACGCTCTACAGTAACGGGCTCTCCCCTTTCCCAGGTGGGCAGCTCCCCGCTCCTCCCAAATCTCCCCGGAAAGGAGTGGGGAGCGAGGGTAGGGGGAGGAGGGGCCGGGAGCAGGGCCCGGCTTCCTGGGGAAGAGATTCCCCCACTTCCCTGCTGCCTCTCACAGCCGCATCCACCTTCCACACTCCCTGAGCTTCTCCCCAGACTCTGCCTGCCCGCCTTCACCGTGGGCCCTGGGCCCCTCTCTTCCCAGCCCAGAGCCCCGGCGTGGCTGATCCCCTGCAGCAGGCCTACGCTGGGATGCACCACTACGCAGGTTTCACTTGGCGCTGCGCGGCCTGTGGGGGGTTGAAGGGCCCCAGAAAGGAATAGGGAGATGGGGGGGTTAGGCTCTGTTCTGAGGAGTCGACCCTCTCATTCCCCCAGACCCCCAGAACGACCTCTCTTGGGGTGAGGGTTACAGGGGACTGAGCAGAATTGGTCAAAGGTGACCAGGCAGAGGGGACCCTGTTTGGGGGATGGCTCCTGGGGGGTCACTGCCCATTCCCACCTCTGTCTCCAGCAGCCTATCCGTCGGCCTATGCCCCAGTGAGCACAGCTTTTCCCCAGCAGCCTTCAGCCTTGCCCCAGCAGCAAAGAGAAGGTGAGGGACTGGGTGCTGGAGAGCAGGGCCTGGTGGGGCTGAACTCAGCGTCCCTCCCCTGAACCAGCCTGCTGCTGTTCCCACAGGGCCCGAAGGCTGTAACCTCTTCATCTATCACCTGCCCCAGGAGTTTGGTGATGCAGAACTCATACAGACATTCCTGCCCTTTGGAGCAGTTGTCTCTGCCAAAGTTTTTGTGGATCGAGCCACCAACCAGAGCAAGTGTTTTGGTGAGCTGAGCCCCACCCTTGGGCCTCTCCCACTTCTAACTAAAGGATTCCTTGTGGACCCTAAGATTGTCCACAAGGAACTGATTTCCAGAGACTGAATGTGTGGTACAAATGGAATCACAGACCAGGGATGGGCTAAGCCTAGGTTAGGAACAAGCCTTAGTTCAGATTCAGCTGGGAAGATCAGGTGTCTGGAATGTGTTTGACCAGTTTAGGGCCTTGGGATCTGACCAAGGCAGAAGGTGTCTGGGTTTGGAACCAGAGATCCTGTCCAATTCTAGCTTCAGTTCTGAGGACCAGCATGAGAGCTGATAGAGGGAGACAGCCACACCATGCCAGGGAGACAGGGAAGCACCACAGTCAACACATGGACTCTGCCCCACTGCACACACACACACACACACTCACACACTCATACTCAGAGTTGCCTCCTGTCCTTCTAAGAATTACACCTTTGGCCGGTGCAATGGCTCAAGCCTGTATTCCCAGCACTTTGGGAGACCAAGGCGAGAGGATAGCCTGAGCCTAAGTTTGAGACCTGGGCTTAGGTAACTTGGTGATACCTCATCTCTACAATATATCAAACAATTAGCCAGGCAGGTAGTGTGTGCCAGCTACTTGAAAGGCTAAAGTGGAAGGATTACCTGAGCCCAGCAGGTCAAGGCTCGGTGACCTTGAGAGTGCCACTGCACTCCAGCCTGGGCAACAGAGTGAGACTCTGACTCAAAAAAAAAAACAAGTCATACTTTTAGAAATCTCAGGCTAGGCTGGGCATGGTGGCTCAAGCCTGTAATCCTAGCACTTTGGGAGGCTGAGGCAAAAGGATTGCCTGAGCCCAGGGGTTCAAGACCAGCTTGGACAACTTGGTGAGACCTCGTCTATCAAAAATTAGCTGGGTGATAGAGAGCACCTGTAGTTCCAGCTATTTGAAAGGCTGAGGTGAAAGGATCTCCTGAGCCTTGCAGGTTGATGCTGGGGTGGCCGTGAGCATGCCACTGCACTCTAGCCTGGGTGACAGAGTGAGACTCTGACTCAAAAAAAAAAAAGAAAAAGAAATCTCAGACCATTTGCCCATGAGCGTGTGTTCATGTGTGGGCAAACAATGGAGGGATGTCTGTTTGATGAAACTGGCATGAGGGGGCTGGGAGAAGAAGGGGCCGGTCAGAGAGAGAGGAGGCCCTGGGAGGCAGAGTTCCCAGCTAACCTCTCTGCCCACACTCCCTCCCCCCAGGGTTTGTTAGTTTTGATAATCCAACCAGTGCCCAGACTGCTATTCAGGCCATGAATGGCTTTCAAATTGGCATGAAGAGGCTCAAGGTCCAGCTAAAGCGGCCTAAGGATGCCAACCGGCCTTACTGATCTGCTCTCACTGACCAGCCGCAGAAAGGTGAGTCCCTGATGGACCCCAGGTGGATGGGCCTCTGGAATGAGGCTCTCCCAGCTCGAATGGTCCTTTTGGGACATTGGGGATACCCACCTTTGAGAAAGTCTGGGTAGCGAGAAAAGCCAGGAGCTAGGAGGACTCCTCAGATGGAGACTTGGTGCTTTTCCATCAATCCAGGACTGATAAATTAGACAGCATTCCTGCCCCCACAGTCTGAGAGAGACAATTACAATGAAACCCAACCAGGTCTACTCAGTGGTGGTCATAGGCGCCACAGGAGTAGAGATCTCATATGTGGTGGGGCGGCGGGGGGTCCAGGGACCAGAGAATGAGACTCGAAACGTGGATTTGGCCGGCCTGTGAAAGCTTCAGACTTCATTCTGAAGATAATAAAGAACCACTGAGGAGTTTAAGCAAAGAAGGGATGAGATGCAAGGGCCTAGATAATGACAGTTAACATGGAGATGCGGAGAGAAAGCAAACAGGCATAAGAAGTAGGGTCTGGGCCAGGGGCAGTGGCTCATGGCTGTAATCCCAGGACTTTGAGAGCCCAAGGTGGGAGAATTGCTTGAGCCCAGGAGTTTGAAACCAACCTGGGCAATACAGCAAGACCTCGTCTCTACCAAAAAAATTGCAAAAATTAGTCAGGTATGTACCTGTAGTCCCAGCTGTTCGAGAGACTGAGGTGAGTGAATCACCTGAGTCCAGGAAGTTGAGGCTGTGGTGAGCTGGGACCGTGCCACTACACTCTAGCCTGGGTGACAGAGTGAGACCCTGACTCTAAAAAAAAAAGTGGGACTGCAGGGCCTGGTGGGTGATGGGGAGATAGGTGACGCACTCTTGTAGACTTTTGGCAGGACTGTGGGTCCATCAGAGGCTGCCTGAGACTTTTCAAGATATATGGTCTCATAAGGTCCATGTGGCCCTGCCTCACTTGTCTGTGGGGAATGTGAGGCTGGGTTCAACTGCCCAGGACCCAGGGCCTAGCTTCAGTGGATCAGGCTGCAGGCTGGGCTCTGCTGCAACTCCGCTCGTCAAGAAGAGAGGCCCACCATTCACCTGAGATGTCACTGATGGGGCAAGCCACTCTCCTCGTCTTGCTCCTTAGGATGATTTCTCTCTCTCCCCCCTCTCCTTATCAATTGATACCCAACAACAGAAACTGAAGAGTGAGAAGAAAAGAGAGAAAAAGCACAGAAATGCTTGAGCAGCCCTTCCCAAAGGAGCAGCTGCAGACGGAGGTGGATCGGACCCAAGGCCGACAACTGGGGTTCAGGCCATCCTAAGGACTGATTTTTCCAGTGGGTTGTTCTGTGCCTGCAGCTGAGAGCTCAGGTTGGCAGGGCAACTAGGATTGACTGAGGATGGATGATCAGGGGGACCTGCAGAGGGCGTTGGGGGTGCCAAGGGCTTCTCCGTGAGGGAGGCCCAGATTTACTTCTTTCAAAATCATATCATTCCTTAGAGTTTAGGGACCAAAGGACTATTGCTTTTTTAAGAATATATATATCTATATAAATTAAAACGAACAAACAAAAAAAACCAAGAGTAACAAAAAAGACAGTATAGAGTCTCATAAAAGCTGCCTTTAAATATCCTTAGGAGACAGGGTGAAGGAGACCCTTGATAGCCCCAGTCAAGGCAGAAGGGGGCTGTGGAAAGATTGTCACGTGTCTCATTCCCTCTTAAGCCACTCCCCAGCCTGCTCTTTTAAAAATAATTAAAGACTTCGAGATGTAGGCTCATATGTAGGTGACAAGAGGGTTATGGAAGCAGTGAACCCCAAATCCACAATCCCCACACTCGGAGCATCCCTGATGAGGCCTCGGGAGGAGCTCAGGCCCACCCCAGCATTTGCCATCCTGAGAGGCCCTCTAGCCAGCATCACATCAGTGGGAGCCCGCCTTTCTTTCTTGACAGCCTTTCCTGAGGAACCACCGCTTCCCCAGGCAGGAAGGAGGAGGAAGTTTTGGCCACCTGAGCCAATCCCTTCCCAATTCAGATAGACAGAGGCCCTGCCTTTGGCTGAGCCGAGATACCTCCTGTTTCCCCTCCCTTGAGCCAGCCCCAATGTCCCCTTGCTCCAGGCCACCTTCTCTCTCTTAGTCTAAGTTTGCCCACCTGTAAAGTAGATCCAGGATATTTGTAGAAGGCCATGACAACAGATTTGGAAGGTTTGCTACTGTATATACTGCCATTAAGAAGGGGGTAATTTTCAATATGTAGAAGCTTCAGAATTAGAGGTCCCTCTTTACCCTGGACCTGGGAGGGAAGTAGATGTTTTGCCAAAATACTTCTTCATTCCTTTACAAAGTACATCTTTCCTATGCAAGAGTGTCTCATGTGCTTATCCAAGGTGCTTCTAGTTGGTGAGCAATGTTCAGCTTAGAAGTGGTGTGTGCTCTGTCCGTCTGTCTTTGTCTGTCTGTTGTATACAGTGGGTGCCATATAAAGCTGATCAATGGTGGTGCTTCCTGCCTGCTTCTGTGAGATGGGCAAAAGATTCAGCTTAGAACACCATGACTCACCTTGCCTTGGTCAGCCTTTCCTGGGCCTGGGGGCCTCGCACATCTTTTTCCTAGGAGGATAATTTCCCCTCCACCCCACAGACATGAATCAGCTGAGTCTGAGGCCCGGCTGTGTGGGGTCACTTCAATTCCCAGAGGTCGCTGTGGCCGGAGGCCTCTGATCTGATGTTATATCAGATAGTAAAGGATATGGGCTGGAGGGTTCCTCCTTCGTGACAGTTTCTAAGAAAACTTGTTCCCACATGTTCCTCTGTCTTTGACTCGTTTTTGGAGGGAATGGGAATTAAGAGTAAACATGGCAATAGCATGAGCAGGTGAGGTGCAGTGTACATTCACAGTTTCCTGCTGAGACAGGAAAGTGCTGAGGGTGTGTGGACACCAGCACAATGCTAACACACAGCCCGACCACCCGAGACACAGAGAGATATGGAGTGCCTGCACATTCAGACTGATATTCATGTAGGGGCACCGGGTCCTTCAGGGCTGGGTGCTAAGCACTGTGCTAGGTACACTCCAAGTACTCAGGGCAAAGGGGAGAGACCCATAACACAGTTACAATGGAGGGCCACACAGAGTCTGTACTAGCAAGGAGGAGAGTAACTCATTCAGTCTTTGCTGGTGGGGGAGGTCTGAAAAAGACCTGAAGGAGATAAAGGAGGGGAGGGGCCAGGTGTGGTAGCACTTTGGGAGGCCAAGGCAAGAGGATTGCCTGAGCCCAGGAGTTTGAGAACAGCCTGGGCAACAGAGTAAGTCTTCATCTCTATACACACACACACACACACACACACACACACACACACACACACACACACACAGTAAAAGTAACTAGGCATGGTGGCATGCCCCTGTAGTCCCAGTTCCTCAGAAGGCTGAGGTGGGAGGATCACCTGAACCTAGGAGATATAGGCTGGGGTGAGCCATGATTGTGCCACTGCACTCCAGCTTGGGTGACAGAGTAAGACTCTAACTAAAAAAAGGAGGAGTAGGGGTGGGTGAGGGAAGGGTCTTCGAGGATGCACTGGGACATTTGGACAAAGCTGTTTAGACAGCTGCATCATTTTGAAGAATAATCTTTTTACCAAGAAATAACAGTTACCATTTATTCAGTGCCTATCACGTGTTAGATAGCAGGTACAAGACAAGACCCTTTTCCCACTGTGACTCTACTAAACCTACCACTCCCCAGACATGTCAAGATGCTTGAACAAAATTGGCATTTTAGATAGTTTGCTTTGTATTTAAGGGTGTAGGCTGGGGACCTACCGACTGTGTGACTCCAAAGAAGTGGCATGGTCTAGATCAAGAGTTGGCAAACTGGCTTTTGGGCCAAATCTGGCCTGTGGTCTATTTTTGGATGACCTACAAACTGAGGATGGTTTTTACATTTTTTGTTTGTTTGTTTGTTTGAGTCTAAGTCTCACTCTATCGCCCAGGCTGGAGTGCAGTGGCACACTCACGACCACCGCAGCCTCGACCTGCTGGGCTCAGGCAATCCTTCCATCTCAGCCTTCCAAGTAGCTGGAACTACAGGCACGTACCACCACGCCCAGTTAATTTTTTTAAATTTATTGTAGAGATGAGGTCTCGTCTAGTTGCCCAGGCTGGTCTCGAACCCTGGGCTCAGGCAATCCTCTCAAAGTGCTGGGATTATAGGCATGAGCCACCACGCCCGGCTGGTTTTTACATTTTGAACGGGTTGTCAAAACAAAACAAAATGAAGAAACAGAGGCCCTCTTCAGCCCCCAAAGCTAAAATATTTATCTTTTCTTTTAGATAAAAAGTTTGCTGACCCTGTTAAGATCATGAAAGACGTGTATAATGTCTGATGAGCTTGAACATGGTGTTTGTGTCTCTATGTGTTCATGTAGTATTCAGAACCTTTTCAGTTGCAAGTTTCAAAAACCCACCTCAAACATGTTTAGGCCCATAAGAAATTAATTGACTTACATAACCGATAAATCAAAAGATGTATCTCTCTTCCAGCATGGCTGGATCTTGAGGTTTAAATGATAGTGCCTCCATCTCTTGCCTCTGCTTCTTTCTATATGTTGGCCTCACTAGTTCTAACTTTAATTTTGTTTTGTTTTGTTTTTTGAGTCAGAGTCTCACTCTGTTGCCCAAGCTGGAGTGCAGTGGCACACTTACAACCACCGCAGACTTGATCGGCTGCGCTTCGGTGATACTTCTGCCTCAGCCTTCCAAGTATCTGGAACTACAGGCGTGCGTTACCACACTCAACTAATTTTTGGTTTATTGTAGAGACATGGTCTCTCCAAGTTGCCCAGGCTGGTCTCAAACCCCTGAGCTCAGGCAATCCTCTCGCCTCGTTCTCCCAAAGTGCTGGGATTACAGATGTGAGCCACTGCACCTGGCTAGTTCTAGCTTTAAAATCCCAGGGTGTCCTTGGGAGGCCGAGGCGAGAAGTTCTGGCTACTTGGAAGGTTGAGGCAGAAGGATCGCCTGAGCCCAGCAGGTCGACTCTGGAGTGGCTGTGAGTGTGTCACTGCACTCCAGCCCGGGCGACAGAGTGAAACTCTGACTCAAAAAAAAAAAATCCTACTGAGTGCCAGGCATGGTGGTGCCTATAATCTCAGCTACTTGGGAGGCTGAGATGGGAAGATCCTTTGAGCTGAGGAGTTCGAGATCAGCCTCAGCAACATAGTAAGATCCTGTCTGAAAAACAAGACAAAAAGCCAGGCACGGTGACTTACCACACTGTACTTTCAGCACAATCACGACTCACTGCAGCCTTAACCTCCTGGGCTCAGATGATCTTTCCGCCTCAGCCTCCCAAGTGGCTGGGACTGCAGGCAAGTGCCAGCACACCCAGCTAAATTTTTTATTTTTTGTAGAGATGAGGTCCCGCTATGTTGCCTAGGCTGGTCTCCAACTCTTGGGCTCAAGCGAGTCTCCTGCCTCAGCCTCCCAAAGTGCTGGGATTACCGACATGAGTCATTGCACCCAGTCCAATCACAGCTATTACAGTGTCCTCTGCTCTCTAGAAGCCTGGGCTGACCAAAGCCTTTGACTGACCATGTGTAGATGTGATTTTGAACTTCCAGTCTCTGGTCTCCTGCCCTCTGGCTGCCTAAGAGCACGAAATCCGGAAGGCAGAACAGGCTGCGAGCCTGAGTCTGGCTTTTCCCAAGGGATATTTTAGGTGTTTGGCAGAAAATGCCAGGAACCTCAAAGAGAGCCCATGGAATGACCCTCAGGTCCCTGGGGAGAAGTTCAGAAATGGCCTGACCCAGTGACCTGAGAGGAAGCCCGCAGTCTGGGCTAGATACCCTGCATTTGAGTAGGAAAAATCAGTTGTGTCTTCAGGACCTTTCTGTCACCCTAGTAGTACTGGGCTTCATTGGATCTTTGAGTCTTAACCCAAGCATTCTAGAAAGCAGAGTTGGAGGCAAGTATTGACATTTTGGGGGGAGGTGGAAGTCCAGGCCAGAGAGGGGAGAAGAGGCGGAGGCAATGTCAGACCACACATTGCTGCACCAGTCACAGCTCCACATGAGCTGTGAGGAGCAAGCAGGTCATGTGACAGGCCTGTTTGCTGAGCACGTGGCATTTGCAAGGTGCAACTGCTCCTTGGAGCAGCTCACCAAGGGGAGGCTTGAGAGGGAGGTAATCCATCTGTTGCCCGCTCATCTCCTGTTCTCCATCAGCCCAGGTGCCCCTGACAGGAAGCTAATGCCCCTGCACTTCTCCGTGGCATTATTTACCCCTGGGCGGCTGCTAGGGAAGTCACTTCTGCCACAGATGTGGAAGTGGAAGGGCTGCTTGGCATAGGCGGTGCTGACTGGGAAAGAAGGAGGTGGCCCTGGGCATCCAAGATGGTGAGTGAGGTTTGTGCCAATACACCCCATGCTCTCCCCCTGGGGCCACAGCCCAAGTCCTCAGGCACCAGAACTCCCAATGCTGTCTGAATTCCAAGCTGAGTGCGTCTTGTTTAATTTAAGGGGAAAGGGAAGTATTCAGGTATGTCTTGGAGGATCAGATGTCCCCCCTTTTTTCCTGAGGCTTCCCAGGCCCTAAACTCCAGTGTCTCCTGCTTGGACCTCCCATCTCTATGCCTTTGTTCTCGCTCACTTGATCTTGGGGAAGAGAATTTGGCTTTTATACTCTGTGAGGTCATGATGCTCTGATACTTGGTGGGCTGGATTGTGGAGCAAAGGCAGGAGAAGCAACTTTACACAAAGCTGCATCCAGTTCTGATCCTGCCAGCATGGAGGAAAGTTGAACTGCAGAAGCTTCTTGAAAATCTCAAGAAGAGTCAGCCTGCTCCAACATCCAGACATTTTTTCCAGTGCATCCTTGAGATTTCCACTTTGAGGGAGGCATGACTTGAGACTGGAGATAAAATAGATGTACACTTCACCAGCTGATCTGATGCCAAATCAAAGGGATTTCCAGTTTCTCAGCCAAGTGGGTGTGATCAGGTCTCCCACCTCTCTCTCACATCAGTTCCACCAATTGAACACTTCATTCCATTCTGCATTAGGACTGATTTAATTGTAAATTAGAGGAAGCAGCACAAACCAGCTCAAGCAAGAAGGGAAGCGAAAGGTGTAATGGTATTACTTATCTCAGGCGATGCTGAATTCAGGGGCTCAAATAAATACCATCAGGTGTCTCATTCCATTTCTCAGGACTCTGCTTTTTCCTTCTCTCCCTTCCTCCCTCCTTCCCTCTTTCTTCCTTCTTTCCGTTCTCTCTCTCTCTCTTCTCCTTTTTTCCCCTCCCTCCCTTCCTTCCTTTGTCTGGGTCTCTCTCTGTCACCCAGGCTAGAGTGCAGTGGACAATCACAGCTCACTGCAGCCTCAACCTCTTAGGCTCAGATGATCCTTCCACCTCAGCCTCCCAAGTAGCTGGGATTACAGGCACATGCAACCACACCCTAATTTTTATTTATTGTAGAGATTGAGGTCTTTGTTTATTGTAGAGATTGAGGTCTTGCTATGTTGCCCAGGCTGGTGTCAAATTCCTGGGCTCAAGCAATCCTCTTGCCTTGGCCTCCCAAAGTGCTAGGATTATAGGCATGAGTCACCATGCCCAGCCACTCTGCTTCTCTTTATCCCTTGGCTCCACTCACTGCCATGTCACAGACACACTTTCTCCATGTGGCAGTGAGAGCTGGATGCCAGCAGCTTCAATCTCATATCCTCTTAGCACACTGGCCTCAACAGCAAGAGAGCTTTGAGGGGATATGTATGATTGGCTCTATTTGGGTCACAAACCCATACTTGAACTAATCACTTTGGTCAGGGTGATGGCATCCTTTGCCTCTCCTGATGGGTCATGTATCCATCTCTGTGGGGCAGAAGGGGGCAGGAGGAAGAAGTGGTATGGTGGTTGCAGCCCCAGTAAGTGCTTATGGCATATAAAGACCTGTAAGAACGACTGACTGAAGTGTAGGATGCTCATGAGGTGGGTGGTGAGAACCATGTAGGGGCTATATTCGTATAAAAGGTGTAAGTTTTATTCTAAAGGGTAATGGGGGCCATTGAAGTGTTTTTATGTAGGAGTGGTATGATCAGATTTAGGTTTTAGAAGAATCCCAGCTGGATGTGGTGGCTCACGCCTATAATCTCAGTACTTTGGGAAACCAAGGTGGGATGATTGCTTGAACCCAGGAGTTCGAGACCAGTCTAGGCAACATAGCAAGACCTTGTCTCCAAAAAAATTAAAAATAAGCTGGGTGTGGTGATGCAAACCTGTAGCTCCAGATACTCAGGAAGCTGAAATGGAACCTAGGGGGTCAAAGCTGCGGTTACTGTGCCACTGCACTTTGGCCTGGGTGACAGAGAGAGACATCGATTCAAAATTTAAAAATAAACAAAAAATAAAAAAGATGCCATAAGCACCAAAGTGGAGAATAGATTGAAGAAGTAGATACTCGATAAGGAGTCTATTTAGGGGGCTACTGTGATGGTTCTGGTGAGGAGGAGTAGAACTGTAAAGGAAAGACTGACTTGAGATGTACTGAGAGGTAAAATTAAGATGTTTATCAGGTCAAATAGGTTCCACTTGAATGAGAATGGGAGAAGTCTAAGATGCTTCTTTCTGAGGGTTCAGGCTGAAAAAAGTCATAGGTGACATTTACTAAGCTAGGAACATGAAACAAATGCAAGGTGAGAAGAAGAAGATGAGTGTGTGAGACATCCAAGTGAATTTGTCCAAAAGGCAACTTGTCTAAAGGCAACTTGAAATCCAGAAATATAGGATGGAGATACTGATTTGGGAGTTTGGGTCTACCACTGTGTGTCACTCAGGCTGGTTTAAACAGAAGCATTTGTTGAAAGGGCACTAGGTGGTTCACAGGATTAACAGGCAGATTTTGTGACTGTAGACCCAGCTATTCAGGAGGCTGAAGCAGAAGGATCGCCTGAGCCCAGGACGTCAAGACTGTGATGAATCATGATTGTGCCACTGCACTCCAGTCTGGGTGTCAGAGTGAGACTCCAACTCAAAAAAAAGAAAGAAAGAAAGAAAAAGAAAGAAAGAAAGAAAGAAAGGAAGGAAGGAAGGAAGGAAGGAAGGAAGGAAGGAAGGAAGGAAGAAAGGAAGGAAGGAAGAAAGAAAGGAAGAAAGAAAGAAAGAAAGAAAGGAAGGAAGAAAGAAAGGAAGAAAGAAAGGAAGAAAGAAAACAGAAAGGAAGAAAGAAAAAAGAAAGGAAGAAAGAAAAGAAAATGCCTGGAAAGCCGTCAGGAACCAGAGAGTAGTCTCACCATTTCTGGTCCTGCCTTTCCATGCTTAATTTTCTATCCCCAGATGGTCTTTTTCCTTTTCTCATTCATCATAGTAGATGGGGGGTAGATGTACCATAGCTCCTGAGTCTATGTCTCTTCTGCTTAGGAAGCCCATTGAATTAGAATCCTATCTCTTAGCTCTAATCCCAGAGTCTCAGAGAGAGCACCTGCTTCTCACAGCTTGGATCAGAAATCCACTCACAGTTCAATAAACTGCGGCCAGGGACAGGAGTCACACAAGACAAACGTGCCCTGAGGCCTGTGGATCTGGAGTGAGTGTGGAAAATATGATTCCCACAGAATAGGGCTCTTGGGCTGGACTAGCCTAAACCAGTGTCCACCCACAAGTTCAAGTCTGCAGGATTGGGTGATTTCCTTTATCCTGGTTTAGGATGGGAGAGTAGAGAAGGTAGCTGACTGGAATGATCCAAGAGTATGATCTTTAAAGAGAAGGGGCAAGCATATTAACATGATTAAAGTGACTGACCTAAGGATCTGGGCTGAGTTGGAAAGAAATGAAGCCAGGAAGATACTGAAAAACCGTGAAGCAGCTGAGATTCACGATGAATGGAAGAGTTGGTGGAATGAGATGGGAGGGGCTGGGGAGGCAGAATCCTCCAGGTCATTGAATACTGGAGTTTGACATGTCACTCATGGGACAGCTCCCCGTGCTTACCCAAAGGGCTTGTGTTCAAACACACTCCCATACATGCATGGCTCTCAAAAGCTGGTATGGGACCCTTGATGGTAAGCTGTTTTAGAAACAGGGCCAACTCCTTTCCCAGTGACTCTGAACTTTTACATTCTGAAACTGAGACTATATCCCTTGATTTTTTTGGTTATTATATGCAATGGGTATAACAAACTAATACTGAGACAAGTGGCAAAGGTGGGCAGAGGGGGGCATCAAAAAGCAAAGGAGTCAGAAAGGAGAGGCTGAGATGTGTAAATGTAAAACATTCTGAGGCCAGTTCAGGATAGGTAGATGTGACATGTGCTTATATCACTCAGGCCAAAACCTTCCTTGTGTGCCTCACGTCCAGCTACAAACAGGGAGTGAGGAAGAAGAAGAGCCCTAAGAGAAGTCTTTTCTCATTAGTGCTGATGGAAAAGAGGGGCACATGAACACCCCAAGACTGATAAGGATGGAGGAGGTCTGGCCATGTCTAGGGCTGTTATCCACAATTTCAGCTTCCATTTATGGACTTCTTCCTAGTTCGTCTCTGCTGGTTACTTTACAAGGATTAGTTGGAATCATATGAAATTACAGTATTTGTTTATATCCTACAAATTTCGTGTGGTTCAGTCCAGTACTACTTCATTTCATTCTTGCCACAACATTTTCATGAAACAGGTATTTTTGTCTCCATTTCAAATATGAGAAAACTAAGACCCAGAAAGTGGAAGTCTTTGTGTAAGGATACACAATCAATGAATACTAAAATTAAGTCTTTTCTTTAAAAAATTTTTTTAAAAATAGATTTAGGGGGTACAAGTACAGGTTTCCTACAAGCACATATTGCATAGTGGACATCTGGGCTTTTAGTGTATATTGTACAAACAGGTATCTTTCAGCCCCCACTCTCCTCCTACCTCCCCGCCTTTTGCAGTCTCCAACGTCTGTTATTCATCCCACTCTGTATGTCCGTGTGTACCCATTGGGAAACCAAGCTTTGAACCCAGGTTGCTTGACTAGAAGGCCAGGGTGTTTTCCAGCACACCGCAGGTACCAGAGGATCAAGTAAGTCAAATATAAGTGTTGAAAAACACTGAGGTGTCTGACTCTCATTTTTGAACCAGGGAGTCCTGAAGTCCCCTCCCAATCTCTACCTGTGGGCCCCTGCCTCTGGCGAGGGGGCTCCCTCACAGTATACAAAGCAACGTGGGTTGCCTCCCTGCTCATTCCTCCCAACCACACGAGGCGATAGAGCAAATACTCTCCTTTGGCAGACCCTCCGCGCGTCTCTCTTCTTTCTCTACGCACCCTCCCCGAGTCACGGCGCAATCCCTCCCAATTGGCGACTGCCGCGCATGCGCTCCACGGCTGGCGGCGGCGCCGACTGCGCTCCGGGACTCAGGCCGCGTGGCTGTTGGGAGCGAGTGAGCCACGTGATCATGGTGTCGCCGCGCGATCATGCGCAGAGTGGCTCAGCGCGCTCGTGACGGAACGACGAGGCGTGGGGTGCGCGACCTCGCCTACCCGGCCCGGCCCCCGCCCCTTGGCTTGCCGCTCCGCCCCCGCGGGGCGTCCCGGGCCGCTAGTCCCCTCCGCGGCGGCCGCGCGCGGCCCGGGGTCGCCGTGAGTACACGCGCGAGGCTGGCTTGGGGGGCAGCTGTCATGGGGACTGGGCGGGGCAGCCGGGCGGGAGGGGTTCGGGGCCCACCCCACCTCGGCCGGGGTGGGTGAAGTGAGGGGCTTGGATCAGGTGGCTCGGGGAGGGGCCCTCCTGGGCTTGACGGGCTTCGCTCAGGTCCGGCGGCTGGCGGTCCCGATCCGGCGCAGAGCTGCTTCCCCGGGGAGGCAGGTGCGGGGTGTCTTTGGGGTCTCCGGGGAACCCCGGAGAAGAGATGCAACCGCTTTCCCAAAAGAGGCCGCAGGGCCTGTCCTGGAAGCGCGGGTGGCAGGGAGTGTTTTCTGGGCCGGCCCCATTCTCTCTCTACAAGGGGTCCCCCGTGCAGCGCCGGCCTGCGGGAGTCGCCCCTGCGGGAGTCGCCCCTTCGAGGTTCTTCCCTGCACCCTTTGTTCGGTGGCCTGGTCCTTCTGAGAAAGGAGTGCACGGCGTGGAGCCGGGTAACCTCCTCTCCCAGGACCACAGAGCCGGAGCCAAATGCAGAACGCAGACGTTGAGATCGGCGGCTTCTTTGAATAGATAAACTGTTGTCACACGCTGAGTAGCTTCTGTGGACCTAGGGAAAGACCTTTGTGATCCATACTTGGGGCTTTATTTACATTTGGCCCCTTCCCCTGCAAATTCATGAAGCTTTCTGTGTTAGCTGCCATCACCCAGACTAAACACTGAGTTTAACAACACCCTTCTCTGGGCACTCTTCATGTCTGCCTTTGGCCCAGCTTCTTTTGAAAGGTTTCTTTTTCTTTACCTCATTAAGATCAGCAAGGTCTTTCTTGCTTAATTCATTAACAACTGCCTTAATTAGTTACAACCACATCACAGTAAAGATCAGATGTAATTAGGACCTGCCAAGTGTCCTTAAGTCCCATTCCATTATGCTCCTAACTTTACGTTTCTTGACCTCCTTAGGCTTGAGTATTCTATGTATAACATGAAAACTTTGAGCTAGGCCACCTCTCAGGCTTATTCTTTAGAATGTCTATGATTCTGGCTGGGCTTGGTGGCTCAGCCTGTAATCCCAGCACTTAGGGAGACCAAGGCGAATGGATGGCCTGAGCCCGCGGGTTAGAGACCTACCCAGGCAACCTGGCAAGATCTCCTCTACAATAAATAAATAAAAAATTAGCTGGGCATGGTAGCTGTAGTTTAGCTACTTGGAAGGCTGAGGCTGAAGGATTGCAGGAGCCCGGCAGGTCGAGGCTGCCATGGCCAGGAGCGTACCACTGCACTCCAGTCTGGGCGACAGAGTGAGACTCCAACTCAAAAAAAAAAAAAGGAATTTCTATGATTCTGTAAATCCTATGACCCATCACTCGCCTTTTCCTGTTTTTCACCTTTTAAACCCACTCTCCATCTCTCTAGACGAAAGGGTATTGAGAGTAAACAGTTTTCACTAAAGTGTTCTGGTTTGAAAAAGCTTGCATTCTCTGAACTGTCTCTTCCCTGAACAAGAAAAACCCCTTCTTATCTACCCTTCTCTCCTTGTGATAGCAACAGAAACCAAGCAGCACCAGCCCTTGGAGAGAGGCTAAAATTTTCTTGACTTCTACAGCGACAAAGACCTTGAAAAAGTTGGTATTTCTGGCCTCTGCCATCATCATCCTACCACTCACCTCGAGACAAGCCAGGCTGGACATTCGTGTCTCCCTCTTTACTCCATCCAGATCAGCACTTGACTGTTTATTTTCAAATCTCATGAAACTAGCTCCAGACCTTCATATTCTGGTTCTCAGCTGCTCTTGAAGGTGAATGAAGTTTTCCTTTTTAAAATCATTTTGTATGATTTTGTCTAAGTGTAGAAGTATTTGGGTCCTTGTAGTTATCTCCCATTTGGCTTAAGTATCCAGCAGAGAGTTCATTCATTCATTCACTCATTCAAGAAATGTGTTAAGGGGCTGTGAATATAGACCGTGGAAGCAATCAAAATCTCACAACTTCCATTCTGATGGCAGAGAAACATTTTGTATGTTAGAACATGGTAAGTGCTGTGGAAAAAAATAAAGCAGGGAAGGGAGAGAGAGAGTACCAGTGTGTGCATGTTGGGGTGGTGTCATTTTATACAGGATGTTCAAGGTGACCTTTGAGCAGAGATCTGAAAGAGTGAAGGAGCAAAGCAGGTGGATATCTGGGTGAACTGCATTCTAAGCATGGGATACAGCAGGGACAGAGACTCTGGTGTGAACATACTTGATGTGTTTGAAGAAAAGCTGTGAGGCAATCGTGGAATCTTGAATAATCTGACTGTTAATATTTAGAGTTGACTTTCTAGGGAGAACTCCTGTTAAAGTAGCTTCTAATTGTTAAAAACCTTTTATTATGAACATTTACAACTATACACAAAAGTGGGGAGTATAAGAAACCCTCATGTACACGTTACTGGGCTTCATCAGTAATCAACATTTTGCCATATTTATTCCATCTGTTCCATTACCTTCCACACTTTTTCTTTGTGTATGTGTCAGAGTACTCTTTTGTATGTGCCAGAGTACTCTTTTATTTTATTTATTTTTTTGTGAGTTGGAGTCTCACTCTGTTACCCAAGCTGGAGTGCAGTGGCACACTCAAAGCCACCCCAGCATCGACCTGCTGGGCTCCGGCAATCCTTCCGCCTCAGCCTTCCAAGTAGCTGGAACTACAGGCACATGCTACCACGCCTGGCTAATTTTTTTTTTTTAATTTGTAGAGGCGAGGTCTTGCCAAGGTGCCGAGGGTCTTGAACCCTCGGGCTCAGGCAGTCCACTCGCCTTGGCCTTCCAAAGTGCTGGGATTACAGACTGAGCCACCAGGCCCAGCCCAGGGTAGTGTTTTAAGCAGAGCTCAGATATCAGGTCATTTCATCTCTGAGAACCTCAGTTGTGATTTCCTTTTGTATATTGTTTCTGATGGGTCTGGCAGCACTGTCAGCTGAAAGACTGCTATGCTAACTTTGCCCTGGCATTGTGCATTATGTCCCCATATAGGGGCAGTTAACCAGACTTAAGTTGGTATCCAAGGAGCAGACCACAGGTCCTTGAACACACAAGGATCTAGAACAGATTTTATCTGCATCAGATTTTATCATGCATTAGAATAACTTGGTAGACTTGTTAAAAATGCAAATTACCGGGCCACATCCATGGAGTTTCTAATTCAGTAGGGCTTAGGAGGGGCCCTGAGAACTTGCATTTCTAACAAATTCCCTGGTGGTACTGATGCTGCAGGTCCACTATCCCTAACAGAAAACCACTCATCTAGAAACCCAAAGTTCAGTAGAACTGTGTTAGAGACTAAGATCATCTCTGAGGTTGGAGTGGATTAGCATGAGGTGTATGCAGAGCCAGTGACCTGCTTGAGAGAGCAACAGAAAGCTTCGCCTGCTCATAGCGTAGCTTTGCCGTCCTCTGCCATTAAAACCTTTGACAGGTGAGGTTTTTTCCTTCCTGCTGTATATGGAAGCCTTAGTGGGGCTAACAGTTGCAGTATAGGGTTAGGTGTCTGCAGGATTAGATGAAAGCAGGGGAATTGTATGTAAAGAGCTAGAGGTTAAGTATTTTTCTAAGCATTTGTTGCGATCATTATTGCATTTTTATCTGGAGGATAGGTTCCAAAATCACCAGGGCATTATTTTGATGATGACACTCAGACTATGATGGCCAGAGGATATTCGGTATTGTTGAGGACTTCTTAAGTTAGCATAATTGCCAGATAATGGCTTGTAGTAATACTGGTGTTTAAAAAGAGATAATGGTTCAATATGGAGAAATAGCTAGGAGTAAAGAGTCTAGAAAGAATCTGATTCTCGTTCTTGACTCTGGTGGGAGTTGGTACTCTGAAGAATGTTCCAGATTAAACTGACTAGACAGCACAAGCTGCAGGTCCTGCCACCATTGCTTTCGGCTTCAGGAGTTGTAGTGGCATTGTGAACTAGAGGAGGGGCAGATGCAGTGGCTCACATCTGTAATCCAAGCACTTTGGGGAGGCAGAGGCAAGAGGATTGTCTGAGCCCGTGGGTTTGAGACCAGCCTGGGCAACATGGTGAGACCTCATCTCTACAATAAATAAAAAAATTGACCCGGTGTGGAGGCACACCTTTAGTTCCAGCTACTTGGAAGGTTGAGGCTGCAGTGGCCATGAGTGTTTCACTGCACTCCAGCCTTGGTGAGATAGAGTGAGACTCCAACTCAAAAAAAACCCCCAAAAAACTAGAGAAGGGACCTGGTCCAATCCCAGCTTTCCAGTTTAAAAGGAGTAGCAGCATCTTATATTTGTGTAACTCTTTCGTGGCTAATTATCTTCAAATAACTAGTTCTTTGCATATACACATACATATACATATAGTATGTGTGTATATGCTTGCAAGCATGTCTCTATGTGCAGTGTCTGTATATATGTACAATAAAACTATATTCATAAGTATGGTGTCTGTGTCACCCAACTGTTAAGGAGTGGTGAAACCAGTTGTTGTCTGCTTTCCACAGGACAGTCACACCACAGCAGAGCCTGCCATCCCCAGCAGATCTCCAGTTGCCCCTGACATCGCTCCTCCCTTGTCTCCCTTGTGGCCTCCTAAATGCCCATCTTGTTGGCCTGGGTTCAGCTGGTGGTATGGAGGGGTGCTGCCTAGCACTGACTTGAGAGTGTGTGTGACTCACTGATCCAATGGTGAGAACTGACTACCTATCTCTCCAACTGTTGCCCAAAGGTCAGATGAGACAAAGTGCAGATCTCACTCAGTGGGGGTTGTTTCATTTGTTAGGGTGAGATTTCCCTCCCACCCTTTGGAAGGTCGAGTGGCTATTTGAAGTTAAAACAAAGAAAAGGGGCTCAGAAACAGTATTACTTGGCGTGTGTTTGGGTGGGTTTTTTTGGGAAAGACGGAGAGAGTTAAGTACTTTAAGGAATAGAAAAGGAGTGGTGAGACAAAACATGTATGCTTGTGGCTACCTTGGATAATTATCCTAGAAGAGGCAGGCTTGTATTAGAACCCAGACATGCTTAAGAAGCAACCTTGACATTAAAGTCTTTTGCATCTCTCCCGCACTGACTACCAGAGCCTCATCCTTTGTACTGAGACTTAAGAAGCCCAAAATTCCCTAATGTTTTCAAAATTTCCTAATGTTTTCTTTAATAATCTCCATTAGGTATTTCCAAAATTCCTAATGTTAACCTCCCAAGTTAGAGCTAGGCCATGGATATGATCAGATTCAGGAAGAGACTGAGATTCTCAAAGGGTGAGGTGAAAGGTGTAAAGGGATTAGGGTCTCAGTTAGTTTGTCGCCAAAGACCTTTTCCCATAATGTCACCCCACACCATTCCTGGAATAATAGAGACCTAACAAAGCATGGTATCCTTATTTCTCATCATTAGGACATCAAAGGCCAGTTCTGGAACGATGATGATTCGGAGGGAGATAATGAATCAGAGGAATTTCTCTATGGAGTTCAGGTGAGGTTACATCCCCCAAGACCCATGGTGGGTGGTCTAGATAGGTGCATCTCTCAGGATACATCAGAAGTGAAAGAGGTGGTTCTGGAGCATAGAAGAGATGGGATGTAATGTTGGTGTGGTCTAGCATGGTCTTGTCAGAGCTGATCCCATGTCCTGGCTTGTGTCTGGGACTCATCCGTCCTCTGGGGTAAATTGCATCCTTTGTATATGGAGACTACCCATATGTTCTTAGTTGAAATAATTGTTTTCTGACTCTTCTCTCATTAGTTAATGAAGATAGTTTCATTCATTAGGGAAATGAATCTTAGAAGATCATTCTGCTAGTGATTGCTTAATGTCATCAACTGTCCAGGGCACAATCCTGAGCAGAAATGCCTGTAATCCCAGCACTTTGGGAGGCTGAGGCAGGAGGATTGCTTGAACCCAGGAGTTTAAGACCAGTCTGGGCAACATAGTGAGACTCCGTCTCTACAAAAAAATAGAAAAATTAGCTGGGTGTGGTGGGTGCGCACTTGTAGTCCCAGCTACCTAGGAGGCCAGTGGGGATAGATCCCTTCAACACAGGAATTCACAGCTGCCATAAGTAATGATCATGCCATTGTACTCCAGTCTGGGCAGCAGAGTGAGACCCTGACCAAAAAAAAAAAAGCTTGCATTCTCAGAATGCTCTTCAAATAGAACCAGTCTGAGACCAATCTGTGTTAAAATATGTACTCTTCAGTTTGTTCTGAGTTATCATAGAAGGTTTACCTGAGTATCCTGGTTAAGGTCTTAGAGGAAAAGCTGGAAACTTGAGGATGTGAACTCCTCAAGTAAAGCCTACATTTGGTTGATGGGAGGGAGACTTGCCTGTCAATGAAATCCCTTGCTAGGGTCACCACCAAGAACCCCTTTATGTCAGTGGCTTTCACTTCTCCTGTACTGCTGCTGTCTGATTCTTCTGTTCCTGGTGTCTCTTCGTGTTCTTTTTAAATCATTTCTCTTCTTCCTTGCATCTCCCTTCTTCTGCCCCTCTCTTCCACCATTATTTTTTCTGCTATCTCAGGGGAGCTGTGCAGCTGACCTGTATCGACACCCGCAGCTCGATGCAGACATTGAAGCCGTGAAGGAGATCTACAGTGAGAACTCTGTGTCCATCAGGTGGGGCTCTGCTTCAGGGATATCAGGGAGCAAGCCGCTTTTCTGATTTGTTACAAGGCTAGAGGTTTTTCTTTTTATGGTGTGATAGTGGGATAAATTATGAACTTAATGGTAGAAATTGTTCAGAATACATCAGAATACTTGGCTGACAGTAGAGAATTAGAAAGGAAGGACACTTATCTTACACAAATTGCCTTGTATCCTGGATCTCTCTAGGCCAGTAGTTTCACCTTTCAGGTAAGAAAGGCTTCTGACTTAAGGATGTAGCTAAGACCCTGGGTACAAAACTGCCTTCTATCCTTGCCGCCCCCTTTCCCTGGGCTCAGTTTTCCTTCCACTTCAGTCTCTGTTCCCTTTTTTATCTCTTGATGAGTCTCACTTGTGGTTGCCTGTACCTCTGTAGAGAATATGGAACTATCGATGACGTGGACATTGACCTCCACATCAACATCAGCTTCCTCGATGTAAGTGGGGCTAGTACCTGCCAACAACATGTCTAGCTGGACTTGTGGAATTTGTCATGTAGGCCAGGAGTCTTGTTCCTGAGTGCTGTATTTGGAGCACATATTCTTCATCTCTGTCTTTCCTAGACCATCAGCAGACAGTGGTGTGTACTGTCATGTGCATGTGTGTGTCATAAAGGGGAATCTTTAAGTCCATTCTTCTGTGTTGCTAAACTGGAAACTGTTTCCCTTATTCTTTAGGAGGAAGTCTCTACAGCCTGGAAGGTCCTCCGGACAGAACCTATTGTGTTGAGGCTGAGATTTTCTCTCTCCCAGTACCTTGATGGACCAGGTAAAGACAGGGACTTTGGGCAAATGAGTGCTCTGAGTGTGGTCTAATCCAAAGTCCTCAGTTAACTTTGGCAGAGAAAAATTAGGAAAAGGACCTTGGGCTCAATCTGTAGGCCACTGGTAGGGGCTTTGTAGTTTCCTGCCACTGGTATCTTTATTCCTGTCTCCTGATAGTCATTCCCTAAAGACCTTCTTGGTTAATGACGTTGTTTTCTCTTGTTCCAAGATATAATTTATTTCTCTCCCTCTCCTCAACATCCTACTGAAGATATTAGAAATTAACTAGACAGTTTCTAGAATCTACCTCTGCCTCAAATGTTTTCTTCCTTCACCATTGTTGTTTAGAGTACCCAGCAGCTACTGGGTTTGGAATCTAAGGATGCTATTCCACTGAACTGTGGCTTTGGAATCCCAGGAAGGTAGAGATATGTACCTACTAGGAGCCTTCTCTTCTCTTTACAGAACCATCAATTGAGGTTTTCCAGCCGTCGAATAAGGAAGGGTTTGGGCTGGGCCTTCAGTTGAAAAAGTAAGAGCTTTGATCTTTTCTCCTCATGGACATTTGAGAGAAAGAGAGGTGGACATATGTGGATGGACAGGCAGAGCCTTGGATGGCATGTTTCCTTCCAAAAATGTCTTTTTGAAATAGGCCAGGAAAAGCTAAAATAAGTTTGGGAGCCAGATTTATGGTTGTGGAGGCAGAATCTATGGTTCTTGGTTGTCAGAACTTGAGACTTCCTGGAAATGAAAAGAGAGGCTTGTCACTACTTAACATTTGAGGGAAAGTGCAATCCTGGGATCAGAGTCATGCCATTCACATTTCTCCTCTGGTTTCCTCAGAGTGAGCCTCCAGGAATGCAGACAGTTTTCATTTATTGAGTGTGTTGAGCATTATGCTAAGTATTTGATACACAAAAACAATGAAGCACATTTTCTACCCTCAGTGAAGTTCCAAATATAGTTCAATGAATACATATTAATTGGGGGTCTTACTTTGTCACCCAGCCTGGAGTTCAGTAGCATGGTCATGGCTTACTTCCGCCTGCCTTGACTTCCTGGGCTTGGGTGATCCTTCTGTCTCAGCCTCTCAAGTAGCAGGACTACAGGCGTGCACTACCATGCCCAGTTAATTATTTATTTTCTTTGTAGAGACAAGGTCTTGCTATGTTGCCCAGGCTGGTGTCGAATTCCTCAGCTCAAGCAATCCTTCTGCCTTGGCCTCCCAAAGTGCTGGGCTTACAGGCATGAGCCACCACCCTCAGCTGATACATACTGTAATATGAATGAAGAAGTAAGGTTTAGAAAGAACACAGAGGAAGGAGTGACTTAGTCTGGTAGAAGGTAGAGGGCTATGAATGAAAGAATGAAAAAGAGATGATTAGTGATTTTCAAGGATGGATAAGAATTGTCTGTGTAGACAGACAATAATATTGGCAGGGGCATAGTCACATAGTCACAGTGCGTATGGAAGGAGTTTTAAGTAGTTAAATATTGCTGGTAAAATGCAAGAGGAGAGTGGTAGGAACCAAAGCCAGGGAATAGGGAGGAGTTCAAATCAGAGAGGATCTTGGGCTTTTATCCTATAGGCAGTGACAACATTGAAGGGTTTTGGCAAAGGACATGGTCAGGCTTAGTGCTAGAGAAACCTTTCAGGTAGCATTATACAAAATGAGTAGGAGGGGATGAGACAAGAGATCAGAACTAGTTTAGTAGACTTTTGTAGAAACCAGACATGAGATATTAAAGGTCTGAGCTAAAGTGTGACTGACCATAGTGAGAATAGAGTTGAGAGTCAGATTAAGAGATTTGAGAGATATAAAGTCAGTAAGACTTGAAGACTGTTTTGGATATGTTGGATATGGTCATAAAGGCCAAGGAAGAGTAGAAAATTACTCTTAGGTTTCCAGCTGAGATGTCTGGGTAAATTGTGATAACACCAATGTAAATAGGGATATAAGAAGAGGAGCAAGTTTGTGGGTTGAGGCTAGATGATTAGTTTCAGTTTAGACATGTGGTTTAAAGGAAACTTTGGAATATGCGGGTGGAGATAGTCAATGTGTATCAATTCGATACCTACAGGCAAGGTTAGGGTTGAAGATATGTGTCAGTATGTGTATGGAAATTACGACCAGTGAGCGTGAGGTTGCCAAAGGAGAGCACGATAGAATGAAAAGAAAACAGCATCAAGGGCAAAACACCCTGGAACACCCAGGCAAGATACCCGAGACACCAACAGGGTAGGCAGAGGAAGAAGAAACACTGCAGGTAGATCAGAGAAGGGTAGAAAGAGAATGTTGGCACAGAAGACAAGGGAGGAGTAGTTGTGCCAGGAGGGCCGAGTGCCAGGGAAGATAACATGGAGAACCAAGATGTTTCTGATGGACTTAGCATCAGAGTAAGAGCAACTGTAGTGGAATGGTGAAAGTAGAAACCAAAATACAGAAAACTGAGAAGTGAATGGTTGGCAACAAAGTAAAACCAGTGAGGGTGGATTGAGAAATTTGAATGAGGATGGAAAGAAGGAGAGGCCAATTGCAGAAAGGTGAAATTGTAGGTTTGGGGAAAGGAACTAACAGGAGAGGGGGACAGTTGCCATACCAAAGCCTTCAATGAGGCAAGATGAAGCTGAAATCTAGAGCATAAATAACGGGATTACTCTGAATAGGAGAGTCGCCTTGTACCCAGAGAATGGAAGGATGGAGGTAAGAGCGGAATGGAAATTGATTTTGTAGTAGGGTTGGAAAATTAAGGGAGCTGAGTCTCTATTAAGAGGGAAAAGAAGCTGTCAGTTTGTAGGTGAAGTTAGTAGCTTAAAGAAGGTGGTAAAGATTTAGAATGGAGCCGGGCTTGGTGGCTCAGCCTGTAATCCTGCGCTTTGGGAGGCTGAGGTAAGTGAATTTTCTGAGCCCGCAGATTCGAGACCCACCTGGGCAACTTGGCGAGAACTCATCTCTACAATAAATCAAAAAATTAGCCGGGCATGGTAGCATGTGCCTGTAGTTCCAGCTACTTGAAAGGCTGAGATGGAAGGAATGCCAGAGCCCAGCAGGTCGAGGCTGTGGTGGCCGGGAGTGGCCACTGCACTCCAGTCTGTGTGACAGAGTGAGACTCCAACTCAAAAAAAAAAAAAAGAAAAGATTTAGTACAGTAGCTTAGCATAATGCTGGAGAGAACTGATCAAGGACTGTATAGTCATTCTTGACAATAGATTTCGAGGTTCCCAGCCTTTAAAGGCTCACATTTGAGATCTACCTCTAAAAGTAAGACATCTCGGAATTTTTCTGGTCCACTAGGTTCGTGCCCCTTAGGATAGTACATTTCCATGTGCTGAGGTCATCATCAGGTAGTCTTCAGGTACACACTCCCCTATCACAACTAACTTTGCAATCTCTGAGTGTGAATTTTAGATTAGTTGCCTCTGTTCATCCTTATTTTTTGACCCCTGCCTAATCTTGCCTAAATGTGTTCTCTCTGATCCTTTAGGATTCTGTGTATGTTCACATCCCAACAATGGAAACATCTGAGCAACGATTTCTTGAAGACCCAGCAGGAGAAGAGGCACAGTTGGTTCAAGGCAAGTGGTACAATCAAGAAGTTCCGAGCTGGCCTCAGCATCTTCTCACCTATTCCCAAGTAAGTCCTTGGAGTAAATAACTCCTTACAATGGGGAATAAGGATGAGGGCTAAAAAAAAGAAAGAAAGATCAATATACATTTCTCCAATTGCATATCATGAGCTAGGTACCATGTTTTACATAAAGGATAAGGTGTTAACATCGGGTCAGGAGTAGAAAGGTAGGGACACACGGGGAACAAGACCATGTGAGTGGTGTTAGTAGCGAGAGACAGAATTCAGAGAACCTAGGGAGGGGATAGAAGAGGTATGTTTAGATCATCAAAAAGGTGGGTGTGGGGGCATCCCCAGCTAATGAGAGATGGTCAGCCAGGTTCTGGAAATAAATGTTGCTCCATTCCTTGACACTAGAGCTACACTTTTCCCCTCTGATGCCTTCTGATATTCCTGAAGGCGGGTGCCAAGCCAGATTTGTAGTTTCCCAGGCACCATTGTTGACAGTCAGACAGTCACTTTAAGCTCTTTGGGCATAGCTGCTTCTTTACTAGCAAGTTTAGCATTTAATCTCTCATGCACACTCACTCACACACTCACACTCTGAGTAAATGAAACAAGCAACCTCTCCGAGGGATCATTCCATACTGGCCTAGATGCCATAGTGACCTGTGCTCTGCTCACCCTCTATTTCCCAGTTTGAGGAATACACAGATAATGACATAAAAATCTATTCAGATGTATGATCTGCTTATGTTGACAGTGCTTCACATCAAGTGGATATTTCTTCAGATATGTGTTTGTCTCTCTTTGGCTTTGGACTTCGAGCCTAGTGCCTTCTAGGGCTCATACTGAATCCCCAGTTTAATCACTTCTCTTTGCTCTCTCTGTCCAGGTCTCCCAGTTTCCCTATCATACAGGACTCCATGCTGAAAGGCAAACTGGGTGTGCCAGAGCTTCGAGTCGGGCGCCTCATGAACCGTTCCATCTCCTGCACCATGAAGAATCCCAAAGTGGAGGTGTTTGGCTACCCTCCCAGCCCCCAGGCAGGTCTCCTGTGCCCTCAGCACGTGGGCCTCCCTCCCCCAGCACGGACCTCTCCTTTGGTACATGGGCTGAGGAGGGTTTGACTTGGGCATCAGGAGGGAGGGCGTGGAATTGTGGGAGTATAGCCTCTCAAAATGGGGAGGGGGTATGGTTGTCTAGGCATCATAAGTTAAACCAGAGTACATGCCATGAGTAAGAAGAATGGCACACATTTTGTAATAGTTGGAAACGTATTTGTAAACCATCCGGCAAGGTTTTCTGATAGTAGACCATGAGGCAAAGAGGTTGGAGATGGGCATTCCCAGGAGAAGCCACATCTTGTATTAGGTAGTGGTTAGGCCTTCAGTTCCTGTACTCATCTTGTCTGCCTGCTTTGAAGAGGGTTAAGGATAGGTGAGCCCTTTTCCAGAAACTTTGGCAAAAAGTCTGAAGGCCTCCTCTCCAGCTTTGGGATTACTTAGGCCCATCTGAACTAGGGCTTAGCTACTTTAGGAGAATATGAAGTGAAAGAAAGAAAGATCAGCATACATTTATATGAAAGAAAGAAAGATCAGTATGCATCAGTTATATACCATGAGCTAGGTACTGTGTTTTACATAAAGGATGAGTGAGTGAGGTCTGTCTAGGCCCCAGCTTCTTAGGAGGCTCATGGGGTCTGTATTTTTACTCTCAACAGGTCAGTGGTCACTGTAAGAACATCCCCACTCTGGAGTATGGATTCCTCGTCCAGGTAATCAAGTCCAAAGTGTCATTCCTAAGCCTCTCCCTCTTGTCTGACCCATCTGGTCCCTTAACATCTCCCAGCTCCTCAGTCAAATATTTTCGGAGTTGCTTTTCTCCCAGAGTTGTACTAAGCATTGAGTGGTTAGGAGGAAAGAAGGCCTGATTCCCATCCTCAGGGAGCTTACAGCACTCCTGGGAAGAGACACAGGTGAATATGATCAACTGCCACATGAAGCACTGTTCATTTTAAGTGTGTGGGTGTCAAGATGAGAAAGGGATTGATGCTCATTTTCCTATGATTCCCAGTGTCCCTTGCTCAGGGGGGTCTTCATTTTTACTTACAGACTTCTTTCACTGCTCTGCCATGCTGGTCACTTGCTTCTTTTTAAATTAAAATTTCTTTACTCCCTGGACATACTTCCACTTCTTGCATCTGTGTACTTTTGTTCATGTCATTCCCTCTACTGCTTTCCTCCCCGTGTCTACCTGTTGCCATCAAGGCTCAGATGCCACCTTTTCTATAAAATCGCCATTATTCCCACTCATGAACTGAAGTGATCTCTCCCCTCACTGAACTCCTATAATCTTTTTTGTTTCATACGACACATACACCTATGTGCCATATACAATATGATTCCTCAATTGGAGTTCAGGTATCTGAGAGGACAGTCTTTTATATTATTGCATAGTCAAGGAGACCTTTCATAGAGCTGGGTACATAATAGGCATTCAACAAATCTGCATTAAATGAATGAGTAAAACTCCTTGCATGTCCCATTACCAGCCCAAAGGCATGTGAAATGGAAACAACCTGACTTATACACAAAAGCTATAAGATCGATATCCAAAAAAGCACTTTAGGGCCAGATGTAGTGACTCACACCTATAATCCCAGTACCCTGGGAAGCCAAGACAGGAGAATCACTTGAGCCCAGGAGTTCAAGACCAGCCTGGGCAACATAACAAGACTTCATCTCTACAAAAAATTTAAAAATTAGCTGGGCCTAGTGGTGGGTGACTGTAGTCCTAGCTACTCGGAAGGCTGAGGCAGGAGGATCGCTGGAGCCCAGGAGGTTGAGGCTGCAAGTGAGCCAGGATCATGTAGCTGTACTGCAACCTGGGTGGCAGAGTGAAAACAAAAACAAAAAAACAACAAACTTTAGGATATTGCTGCATGAGCTCTGGATTTGTGCCATCTTCCCAACTCAGAGTTGTGTCTGTTGTGACCAGTGAACTGGCTTATTCTAGGCAGTTGAAATGGCTTTTCAGGACCTTCTGCCAACTTATTACAGACTGAAACTCTCCTGTCCTAAATGGACAGCTGGTAACTACCACAGCTACTGTTAATAGTTTGATTAGAACCTGTTTTATGTTTATAAAATACTTTCATGGAAACAATCTCATTTCTTATAATACCCAAAGAGGTGAATAATGTTCTACTTTATACATGAAGAAACCAAGGCTCATATTGACTTGCCCAGAGTTATATATGGTATTAAGTCTTAGAGGTGAGATGTTAACCTAAGTCTTCTAAGTCAAAGTTCATGACTGGTCTTAGTTTTACTATACTATACAGCCTTAGCTCTGCCGTCAGAGCATTGCTTTAACTAAGCCAAATAGATCCTACCTTAGTTAGGCACAAGGCTGGGAAGGTAGCTAGAAAAAAAGCTCAAATTATTTCCCATATCTGTCTGTGCCTGTCCTTCCCCAGAGGCTTAGAATCTGTTCTCTCTCCAGATCATGAAGTATGCAGAGCAGAGGATTCCAACTCTGAATGAGTACTGTGTGGTGTGTGATGAGCAGCATGTCTTCCAGAATGGGTCCATGCTCAAGGTAGAGGTCCCTACTCTGTGACCCTCTTCCTTGGCCAAGTCCCCTTCACTCTTCATCTCTCCTTTAGGCCTTTCTTCCTGGGTCTCTGGTAAAGGCAGAATTCTGTGCATACTTCCCCAGATTCTAGGAATAATTGCTTTTGTTTGTTATGCATGTAGAAGAGGTGAACATTGTTGTGAAAACTCAGTCTCTTCTGAGCATCTGACCATCTAGGAAGATGAGGGAAGGCTTTGTAGAGGAGACAGTATTAACTCAAACTCATCAAGAAGGCCTTTTAATTAAGACTACTGATGGTTTTCTCCTGATTCCTGCTTTGTCCTAGAGTAGTCTGAGGTCAGGGCTTTCCTGCTCTCCCTGCACTTCCTTCTTGCACACTCATCCCATAGTCTTCTGTTTACTGTCCATTCAGCCAGCTGTCTGCACGCGTGAGCTGTGTGTTTTCTCCTTCTACACACTTGGGGTCATGTCTGGAGCTGCAGAGGAGGTGGCTACTGGAGCAGAGGTATGGAAGAGGGGAAAGTGGCTGGGAACTGGGATTAAGAAAGTCAGTGTAGGCCGGGCTCGGTGGCTCAGTCTGTAATCCCAGCACTTTGGGAGGCTGAGGCGAGTGGATTGCCTGAGCCCATGGGTCCGAGACCCACCCAGGCAACTTGGTGAGACCTTGTCTCTACAATAAAGCAAAATCTAGCCAGGCATGGTAGCATGCACCTGTAGTTCTGGCTACTTGGAAGACTGAGGCGGAAGAATCGCTGGAGCCCAGCAGGTTGAGGCTGCGGTGGCTGGGAGCGTGCTACTGCACTCCAGCCTGGGCAACAGAGTGAGACTCCAACTCAAAAAAAAAGAAAGTCAGTGGAACCCAGCAATTTCACCCTTTGGAATCAACCTCCAAAAATGCTTTCAGATGTAAGAATAGTCACTGTAGTATCATTTGTAAAATAAAAAATGGATACAACCCCATCTGTAGGGATTCCAGTTAAATTATTTCCTTACAATGGAAATACTATACAGCTATTATTTATGGATGGAAAATTGTAATATAGTTATACAAAAAAAGCAATACACAGCCTAGACAGCATAGCAAGACCCTGTCTCTACCAAAAATAAAAAATAATTAGGCATGGTGGTGCATGCCTATAGTCCTAGCTATTTGGAGGGTGAAGTGGAAGGATCACTTGAGCCCAGGAGGTCAGGGCTGTGGTGAGCTATAATCACCCCACTGCACTCAACCTGTGCGACAGAGCAAGACCCTTTCTCTAAAAATAAATAAATAAGTAAATAAATAAATAAAGCAAATACAACAGTATGTGTTGGAAAATTGCCTATGTAAGCAAATAACTCTTTCCTTAGGAAAAATATCTAGAAAGGTACATATCAGACTTATCAGTAGTTGCCTGTAAGCAGTGAGATTTGTTTGGGGGCAAGGGGAGATTTTTATCTCTTTTTAGTCATTTTAATATGACTTGAATTCTTATGAGCTTGTATTTTCTAATTTAGAATCCATAAACATATTTGCTTTTCACAAGATGAGCAGGGAGAAATGGTGGATACTGTGTGGTGCCCAGTGCTGGGAAATCATTGATCCCCCTTTTTCTCCTGTCCCCACAGGTGGTGGATCTGCTGGTAGCCATGTGTAGGGCAGCTTTGGAGTCCCCTAGAAAGAGCATCATCTTTGAGCCTTATCCCTCTGTGGTGGACCCCACTGATCCCAAGACCCTGGCCTTTAATCCTAAGGTATAAGTTACTCGGGGAGAAAGTCACTGCTAAGGAACAGAAATGGTAAGAGATAGTGGGAGACTGGACTGTCATTTCAGTGTACACAGAGCTTGGAATAAGGGACAGAACTCTTGAACTCTAGGATTTCGCTCTTTCAGTGAATAAACAACTGAGTTTGTCACAGGAAAGGGAGAAGAATTAATATTTGTTATACAGTGATAAGGAAGAATATCTGTCTGTTTGGAGCCAGACAGACCTGGATTCCATTTGAGGTTCTGCTACCTCAGCTGTAAAAAAGAGGTAATATTTATTTTGCAGATTATTATACAAATGAGAGATGATATATGTGAGCTACTTTATTAGGATTCTCCAGAGAAGCAGAACCAATAGAAGATATGTATAGAGAGGGAGTGAGAGAAAGAGGCTTATTATAAGGAATTACCTGTGTGATTGTGGAGGCTGAGAAGTCTCAACATCCACAGTTGGCAAGCTGCAGACCCAGGAGAGCCCGTGATAAGTTCCAGTCCTCGAACAGAGGCCTGAAGCCCAGGAGAGTCAGTGGTATAAGTTCCAGGCCAAAAACCTGCAGGCTCAAGAATCCAAAAGCAGGAAAAGACTGATAATCCAACTCAACAGTCAGGCAGGAGGAGTGCCCTCTTTGTTATTTGAAGGGAGGGGGGCCTTTTGTTCTATTCAGGTCCTCAGTTGATTGGATGAGGCCCTTCCACATTAGGGAGGACAGTCTCTTTTATTCAGTCTACTGACTCAAATCTCAACCAAAAATATCCTCACAGACACAGCCAGAAATAAGAGTTGACAAATGTCTGGGCATCCCATAGCCTAGTCAAGTTGACACATAACATTAACCATCACAAGTACTTAGCATGGTATCTTACTATTGCTGTCATTACTACATATCAGGCACTATACTAATTTCTTTATGTGTTATTTAATCCTCAGAACATCTCTGTGAGATGGTAGGAATTGGTATCTTAATTTGTAAATAGGGCTGCGAAGGTGCCAAAAGGTCAGGGTAACTTGTCCTGTTACTCACTGCTGGCAAAGGAAAACTGGCATGTGACTCCAGAACTGTCTGATATTACAACTGTCTGTGTGCTTTCCATGGCATGCCACTCTGTTTCCTTGGGCCTGGACTCATTTTGTACATCTAGCTCTCCTTTTCGTCACATCCTGCTCTCCACTTTTCTTCATCTGGCTCTTCTCTTCCCATTGGTTCTCCACAGAAGAAGAATTATGAGCGGCTTCAGAAAGCTCTGGATAGCGTGATGTCCATTCGGGAGATGACCCAGGTACTCTGCCTTCTGTCTGTCCCCTCCTCTGCCTGCCTGGCTCAAGTGTCCTATTCTATTTGTATTTTGTGGGAGTGGGGTGAAGATGTAGGGAAGCCACTCAGATTCCTCACTGTAATTTTTGTAGTCTTCCCTCTCTTACCTTCCCAGTTCTTGTGCTCTGTTTTGTTAGCCCTGTTATTCCTCTTTATTCTCTTCACTCTTAATGTCTCAACCTTTATTGCTAATTCTGTTATGAGTTGTTCATATTTAATGTTTTCCCATAACTCTTAGGAAATTAGAGAAGTGAGGGAAAGGCCTCTGTCCAGGGTTGGAAGGGTGAGGAGGGGGGCTTGGAGGTAAGAAACTAGACCCAGGGGCCTACATCTTTTGTCCTTCTAGGGGTGGGGCAGCCACATGGAGCAGAGACCATCCTTTGACTCAAGGCTGTCCCTCACCAGACTTCCCCACCCCTCGTCTGCAATTCTGCATGAATAGACATTCATTTGTGCTCACATTCACAGGTGGGCCTCTTCTCAGCAAATCCTATAAATCACAGTTCAGATGAACACATCAGATCCACCTAGGAGGGATGATTTACTTGTCAGAAGGACTCTGCTTTGTGTAAAGATATACCACAGGATTCCTTAGCCTTATCATTCTGGGATATTGATTTTATTTGTTTTTTGATTTACAGTCAACTTTTTAGGGCTGTAGGAATTGCATAAAATGAGGGAGACCCACCTGCATGTTGTTTTGTGAGCATCTTTGGTCATTTTCATTTATTTATGAGTCTTCCCAACCCGATTTGGGCTCCTTGAGGGGGGGAAACCCATCTCCTCTTTCCTCCGGGTGGCCTTTGGTGCCTACCCTTCCCTGGGCCCTGATAGTCAGCTTGTGGAAAGTGGGAGGGCTCCCCTCTCTCCTGGAAGATAACCACATGGCCATTGTCTTACAGGGCTCATACCTGGAAATCAAGAAGCAGATGGACAAGTTGGATCCCCTGGCCCATCCTCTCCTGCAGTGGTATGAACAGAATGGCTCATCCTGCCCGGGGCACAGGGAGGGAGAGAAGCATCAGGCATAGAGCCTACACCTTCTTATAGAGGCGGTTTCAGCCTCCTTCCCAAGGTCACAGGCAGTATGACTGCTTTTTCTTGGTATGTTATTGAACTCCTTGCCTTGACAAGAACTCAGATCCTACCAGGGGCCCACAAATTCTGAAAGTATTTCTCAAGTTCTCTTTAGGTGTCCATGTTTCCCAATGGGTTTGTTTATCTTCTTCATTTATTTTTTATATTAACAAAAATTATATGTTTACTATGTACAATATGATGTTTTGAAATGTGTACATTGTGAAGTAGCTCAGTAGAGCTGATTAACGTATATAATCTCACATACATGAGAAATATGTAGTGAAAATACTTAAAATCTATTCTTTCAACGATTTTCAGAAAATATAGTCATTGTTATTAACTGTAGTCACCAGTAGGTTCTGAGTATCTCTTGCATGTAGGCATTAACAGTGTTCATTTCAAGTAAGTTTCTTGCATCCAGAGAGCTCTGTCTCCCCCTCCCAGCCCCTCTCCCTCTCAGGCCTTCCCTGATGGTGGTGGATGTCTAGACCTTGAGACCCTCTTGGTATTCCCTTCTCCTAACAAAGACTTTGCCTGTTCCTGACTGTGCTCCCTCCCTGACCGTGATCTCTCTTGTTTTTCTGACATTGCTTTCCTTTTCTAGCATGCCTTCCTCTTCCCAGTCAGCCTTTGACATGAGTGCAATGGCTTTACAAGTACATGGATAAGGCACAAAAATCAGACTGACTGTGACAACTGCAGGAGAGAGTGTTCTCTCACTAAACCTACAGTGCTTTATGCCTTTTTGTTTTCTCCTGCCCTCTGAGTTCAGCCTATATATGGCCCAGTCTGTTCCTGACTCCTCAGGAAGGTCATTCTAGTTCCTTCTGTTTCTTTCTCCAGACTAGGCAGTAACTTTCTCTTCTCTCCTCCCCATCCCTGAAAGCCTTCAGGCTTCTTATTTTATTTATGTTATTGTAGAGATGTGGAGTACATGTAAGGATTAACTATACAAGTACTGTGTGCAGGAGACGTTTGGGCCCCCATCTGGCCCTCAATCCCCTGGTATAGGACCAGGTGCCCTTTGTGTTGTAAACCTCCCTCCCCGCTGGCCTTCAGGCTTCCTGTGAGGTCAGGCAGGATGCCTTCTATTCCCAGTTTTGAGTCTAAGTCCCAGGTATAAGTTGTCACCATCCTAATGAGATTTCTCCTTTCTGTGTATTTATTCCTTGTGGATGACCTCTTGTGTTCTTTTCATTCTATCCTTTTCTCTCCCTAGTTGTAGCAGCCTACCTCCCATCCCTTCCTTTCTTTCTTGCACTGTTTTAACTCCCCGGTAACTAGCTGATCTCTGGTCAATAGCTTTCTTCTTACATTTTTACACATAAATATTTTCATCCACAGGGATTATCCAGATAGCGACCTGGACATTTTCAACAATTCAGACAGCCCAGGAATCCTTGCTTGTTCTCCCAAGGTCAGAGGAAGGCTGCTTGTTTGGGATAGCCTAATCAAGTGATTATTCTATCTTGTTTTTTCTGTTTCTTCCCAGGATCATCTCCAGCAACAGGTCACACATTGTCAAACTACCTCTCAGCAGGGTAAGTGATCATTCTTTCTCTAAATGCCTTCCATTTCTGGTGAGGGGCAGGGAGGGGCTGTAAGCCAGCTAGCCATATTGTCCTAGATCTGCCTAGTTGGCTCTGTCCATCAACATAACCTGTGGGCCTTCGTGTGTTTCCCTTGTGTGGAGTCAGTGCAAGCTTGGTTTTCTTCCCTGTCCCCAACCCTTCCCTCCCTGATCTCGATTTCTGCTCTGTTTTCCTGATCCCACCCCCACCGTGGGCAGCAGCTGAAGTTCATGCACACCTCACACCAGTTCCTCCTGCTGAGCAGCCCTCCTGCCAAGGAGGCTCGGTTCCGGACCGCCAAGAAGCTCTACGGCAGCACCTTTGCCTTCCAGTGAGGAGGCTGGGGACTGGCAGTGGGGGGAGGGGTGGGAAGGTATATGATTTTGTGTTACCTGCATCCATCACCCAGTCAGCAGATGTTTATTGGATGTTATATGGTAGGTGCTGTAGAGGACAGAAATGGTTCAGATGACATGGTCTGTATGATGTAGTTGAAGAGAAATGGCACATATAAAAAGATGTGGTTAAAGGAACAGATTAGAGGAGATAGATCTGAAAACTACTTTGAGAGAAAATCCCACATTTATGCCCAATTGTGGGAGCTGAAAGAAAAAGAAAGAGAGGCATTAAAGGTAACTTATAAGAAGTGGTAGTATCCTTTGCTTAAACCAGAACTTGAAGTCAGAACTAAAGGCCACATTTGATATCAGTGATAAGCTTATTGAGTTTGAGATGAATTTGTTGAATTTGAAATATCAGGAAACTAGGCAAATGAAAATACTGAACCTGCAGTTGAGGATTTAGGATGGGATCAACTGAAGCACAAAGAGAGAATAAGACTGAAAATAAAGGTCTAGGGTTTAACCACACACACACAGATGGTGTGCCTGTGATGATGTCCATGTGTATGTCCATCACCAGGTGTCTGTCCATCTTCATGTCCTGTGTGGGTGAGAATGGGTGGGAATGGCAGTCTTAGAAGTGCTCCTGGGAACCTCACACTGTGAGGAGACATGTATTCTACCCTGCCTTACAGTGGGTCCCACATTGAGAACTGGCATTCGATCCTGCGCAATGGACTGGTCAATGCATCCTACACCAAACTGCAGGTGAGGCTGTACGCCTTTCTCCTTTCTCCCCCCCCCCCAGCCCCACACAGTTTTGGGGAAGGCTGCTCTAGAGATCGCTGCTGTTTTTGCCTCAGCGTCCTCAGGCCTAGCATTTCTTGGGGACTTCCCTAGAGAGGAGCTTGGAACCGGATGCATGGAATGAATGTGACTGTTGTATATTTGACCTCAGACTGTGATTTTTGGTGGTTTTGGGAATGGGAATGTACCTGTAGGAAGAAATAGGGAATTGCTAATTGCAGCTACTGTGATTAATTCACCTAATTAAGCTTTTCAATGTATGTAGCTGTTCACTCATAGAGTTGATACAGGAGACTTGGTTCTTTGTCCCAAAAGACTCCAGGGAATGGGTCTTTTCCCTCCTTCTGGCTTGCCTCCTCTGTAGTTCCTCTTTTTTGGAGTCTGCCTGTATATCAAGTCCTGGGGACAGGAATGAGGATGCTGAGAGACTGACTTAGTAGCTCTGCCACTCCCTGCTCTCCAAGGCATAGAATCTCATAGACAAGCAGGTCAACCTGCATTCACTTTTCAGCCAATCACCTTTTCAAGAGTAGATGCCTAGAGTCATTTGAATGAAGGAGAAGGTAGATGGAGGGACAGAGGGCTGGATAAGCCTTATGGCTGCCTGATATAGTCACAGGAGGGCCCAGGCTCATATTGCTCATCCTGGTGTTTCCCTGCAAGCTGCATGGAGCAGCCTATGGCAAAGGCATCTACCTGAGCCCCATCTCCAGTATTTCCTTTGGATACTCAGGTAAGAATCATTCTTTGGCCACCTATTGACATTGCATCCGTTTGTGAACACATGATCTGTGCTGTCTCTTCCTCTCCCGTCATGGATACTTGGTCTATGTCAGCTCTATCCCCAGTCATGGATACATAGTCTGTCTCTCTACATTTTCTCATTAAAAATTCAGATTCTTCACAATGTGAGGTTAGTTATTTTTAAAAATGATGGTTTTTAATTCTCTGAAATGGTAGTTTTATTCATTGTAAGAGCTTGACCCTAGAAATGGGTTGAGGAATAGCTGAGAGATAACAAGACCACATTTTGTGGTATTGGCAAATATAGATTGTGTTTGTGTACATGTATGCATGTGAGTTTATGTGTGAATACACCTGAAGACTTGAGTTCTGTTGGTTTATATTTCTGGAGACATTATTTTTTGTCAGCCATCTTTTAAAATTTAAATTGTGTGGACGGGTGCGATGGCTCACACCTGTAATCCCAGTACTTTGGGACACCGAGGCAGGAGAATTGCTTGAGACCAGGAGTTTGAGACCAATCTGGGCAACATAGCCAGACCTTGTCTCTACAAATAATAAAAAAACTAACCGGGCATGGTGGCATGTGCTTGTAGTCCCAGCTACTCAGGAGGCTGAGACAGAAGGATCACCTGAGCCTGGGAAGTCGAGGTTGTGGTAAGCCATGATCATGCCATGGCTCTCCGGTCTCGGTTATAGAGCAAGACCCTGACTCAAAAAAAAAGAGTAAATACAAATAAAAAATAAAATTTAAACTGTCTATAACCTTATACTGTTATATTGATTACATTAAATGCAGGAGAAGCATTTTATTCTAAAACATGTACAGGATCTAGATTCTAATCGGGAAGAATCTGGCTCAGAAAAGGAAACTGACTTAGAACTCTCTCTGTCTGCTTCTTGTTTTAGTTCCTTTTCATTCTGCTTTTGTTCTTGTTTAATGTAATCTCTGTATAAGGTATAGGCATCATATAGTTGCATGTTCACCACATGAAGAGGATTGTGCTGGATTCTTGGGTGTTGTTTTTTTTTTTTTAAGTCAGAGTCTTACTCTGTCACCTGGTCATTTGAATGAAGGAAAAGGTAGATGGAGGGACAGAGGACTGGATAAGCACAGCTTATAGCAGCCTCGACCTCCTGGGCTCAGATGATCCTTCCACCTCAGCCTCCTGAGTAGCTGGGATTACAGGCATGCGCCACCATGCCTGGCTAAGTTTTTTTATTTTTTTGTAGAGACAAGGTTTTGCTATGTTGCCTAGATTGAACTTGAATTCCTGGGCTCCAGCAGTTCTCCTGCCTTGGCCTCTCAAAATGCTGAGATTGCAGATGTGAGCCACTGTGCCCAGTCTTGTACTGGATTCTTTCTACATTGTTATTTAGTATTCTGCAATAATTTAACTGTTACAAAGATAAGAAAACCTAGTGTCACAACCAAAGAACTAAAAAGACAAAACAATAAACAAAACAAAAACAAAGCAGCAGAAAAAGCCAAACAAAGTAGAAAAAAGGAGATAATATAGATAAGAACTGAAATAAATGAAATTAAAATAAGTATAATGGATAGGTCCAAAAAAGCCAAAAGGTTAATTCTTTTAAAGAACTAGCAAAGCAGATAAACCTTGGTTAGATTGATTAAGAAGAAAAAGGGGGCCAGGTGCTGTGGCTCACATCTTTTATCCCAGCACTTTGGAAGGCTGAGGCAAGAGAATCACCTGAGCTCAGGAGTTTGAGGTCAGTTTGGGCAACATAGACCTCATCTCTGCCTACAATAAGTCAGAAATATTAGTCAGGTGTGGTGGCATGCACCTGTAGTTCCAGCTACTCAGGAGACTGAGGTGGATGGGATGAGCCCAGCAGGTCGAGGCTGTGGTAGCCATGAATGTGCCACTGCACCCCAGCTCAAAAAAAAAAAAAAAAAATTTAAAAATTAGCTGGGTGTGGTGGTGCACACCTGTAGTTCCACCTACTCAGGAGGCTGAGGAGGGAGGATTACTTGAGCTCAGGAGTTCAAGACTGCAGTGGGCCGTGATCATGTCACTGCACTCTAGCCTGGGCTACAGTACAATGAGACCCCAACTCAAAAAAAAAAGAAAAAGAAGCCAGGCACAGTGACTCATGCCTATAATCCCAGTACTTTGGGAGGCTGAAGTGAGAAGATTGTCTGAGCCCATGGGTTCAAGACCAGCCTGGGAAACTTGGTGAGACCTCATCTCTACAATAAACCAAAAAATTAGCCAGGCGTGGTGGTGCATGCCTGTATTTCCTGCTACTTGAAAGGCTGAGACAGAAAGATCACCTGAGCCCAGCAGGTCAAGGCTGCGGTGGCCATGACCGTGCCACTACAGTCCTGCCTGGGTGACAGATTGAGATTCCAACTCAAAAAAAAAAAAAATTCTTACAAATCATTAAAAAAAAAAAGACAACCTAAAAGAAACACAGGCAAATGACATGGATAGGCATTTCACTGAAGAAATGTCCAAAAAAAACGACAAAACTACAAACTGTTCAACCTTTATTTGTAGGGAAGTAACATCAAGACCAGTGACCATTTAGTACACATTTGAGTTGGCAAAAATTAAGACATCTGATAATACTTCTGTTTGTACCAAAAGTTATGGATGAACAGCATCACTTTTATTGCCTATGGTGATCTAAATTAGTGTTATTTCATACACCTAAGCAGTTTAACCCTGTGACCCAGCATTTTCATTCCTGCAAGTATGCACCCAGAGATTTGTACAGGAATGTTCAAAGCAGGACTGTTTGCAGCAACAGATCTTGGAGTCATCTCAAATGTTCATCATCAGGATAATTGCTAAATACATTTTGATATAGTTTCACAATATATTATTATTCAGCATAAAAATGAACAAATGTTACCGGTAGGCAACAATACAGAAACATCTTAGTAATATTTTCAGTTTAAAAAAAAGCAAGTCCCTTGGCCGGGCTCAGTGGCTCAGCCTGTAATCCCACGCTTTGGGAGGCCGAGGTGAGTGAATTGCCTGAGCCCGCAGGTTCGAGACCCACCTGGGCAACTTGGCGAGACCTCATCTCTACAATAAATTAAAAAAAAAAAAAGTTCGAAAGGACTGTATCCTGTATGATGTCTTTTTATATTTTTCAAAGGTAACCAAAGTGAAACATTATTTAGGCATATATGTGGGTGTGTGCTTGATAAAACTTTAAAGAAAAGGAGAAAAAAGCAAAGGAATAATAAGCTTCCTCCCAACTTATTTGAGAAGTAAGTGGTTACCTCCCAAAGGGAGCCAGATTGTTAGATAGAAGTCACTGGTAACACTTTCGTTCTTGGATTTAGTTCTTGGGCTGAGTCTCAAGGTATTCGTTGTCCTGTTAAAAATGATAATGTGAGCCGGGCTCTGTGGCTCAGCCTGTAATCCCGTGCCTTTGGGAGGCTGAGGTGAGTGGATTGCCTGAGCCCGCGGGTTCCGAGACCCGCCTGGGCAGCGAGACCTCATCTCTACAATAAATAAAAAAATCAGCCAGGCGTGGTAGCGCATGCCTGTAATTCCGGCTACTTGGAATGCTGAGGCGGGAGGATCGCCTGAGCCCAGCAGATCGGGGTTACAGTGGCCGGGAGCGGCCACTGCACTCCAGTCTGGGCGACAGAGTGAGACTCCAACTCAAAAAAAAAAAAAAAAGATAATGTGTCATGAAACAAAAGTTATGATCAAGTCACACAGGGTGAGTGCCCAATAAATGTTTATTGAATGTGTGTATGAATCTTACTTTGTGTGCCTGGGGTTGAAAGTGGGGGTGGGGTTGGGGTAATCTCTTTGATTTCTTTGCCTGAATTCTTTGGTTTTCCTTTTTGTCCCAGCTTAAACATCCCTCTGATTAAGCTCCTATTACTTAGTGAGATGCTCCGGAATCTTGGTGCCCACATGATTCCTCCTTTCTGTTTTCCCCCATTCCTTCCTTTTCTTTCCCTCTTCTCCCACCAGCCTTTTTTTGTTTGTTTTTGTAACTACCAAGTGCCTGAATACCTTTGGTTTCCAAATGGAGCCAGGAGTCTCTATTCTTGTCTTTCTGCATCACTTCACTGATTATATAAAAACATAGACACCATTCCTCTCCCTCTCTCAAAAGGTGATTGACTACACATAAAATTCCATAGGATTTTGCTACTGGAATTAGAGCTCATCTAGTCCAGTTATGTACTACCTTACAGATAAGAAGACTGATACACAGGAAAGTTAAATGACTTTCTCATGATCACACAGCTGTGAGGAGCAGAGCTAGGACTGGAATCTAGGTCTTCTGACTTCTAGTCCAGTGTTCTTGCCACTGTACTGGACTGACAAGGCAGACTTTGCTTGAAGGACTGGGTCTCTGAGGGTCTCGTATATTTGTAGATACCTGAGAATCTCTGTAATGGCAGGTGGGGGGATGTGCATACATGTCTGTCCACTTACTGTGATTACTGGAGCATTTGACCAGCTGTCTTGTATTTTTTTTTCCCCGTTATGCTTTGATTTTCTGTTTTTTATTCCTCAGGGTGGGGGCTAGTGCATATGACATTCATATACTCAGTGGAGCCTCCAGGGCTTGGCTGTAGTGTGCAGGTTGAAACGAGGGACAGTGAGAAAAGGGATAGTTAATGGCTTCTGTTTGTTAGTACTGTTTAGGGATTTCTGATAAGTGCATACTCAGGACACGAGCATCTGGGGATTATTCTAGCCACCTTGGTCTCCAGGTCTGGTCTCAGGAAACAGAAGATCATTGGGTCAGTGTGGAAAAGACAGTGCAACAGATAGTTCTTTCTTATCCTCTTGTCTACCTCCTCTGAAGTAGAATCTGAATGGGAATTTCACTTGGAACCTTGTCATGGATACACCCAAGTGATAAGTCATGATGTTTAGATGGAGAGCTGAACCTAGTTGAGCTAATAATTAAGGTGGAAACAGAGGGTGTCTGTCCTGTATGAGAAAAACATAGGCAGTTCAAACCTTGAGGCTCTGTGTTTATCCCCAAATCTGTCATGAGATTTCAGTGTAAGTGCATGATGATAGCCTGAGCAGTAAGGAATGCCAATTTGACAGTTATTGCTCTACCTCTATACGGTGGCTATTACAAAACCAAGAATTGAAGCACAGTGGAGTTGATAATAATAGAAAATTCCAGTGTAGAGTGGTGAGAGTGCTGTGGCCTATAATGCTATCATCTCCACCTCCATCTGTCTTCCTCTTTCATACACACACACACACACACACTCACTCATGTCCCTAGCTATGGTAAAACTGGGCCTGTGATAAAGCTGAGTACAGACTGTAATCCTGTCCTCAAGTCAAACAGAATTGGGAGGAAGGGCACACAAGCATTGTTCACATCAAAATAAGGAAAGTTCAGGCTGAGAACTGGTTATTCCATGGGGGATGGATGGCAGAGGGTTTATGGATTTAGATCTGTGGAAGCTAGAGGGTACTGGTGCTTCATTCTCACGTTTGGGAAGACTTCTGAGGGACGTAGAATTCTTCACAGTAGTTGCCATTGTGATAACCTGTGGAAAGTCATTTGTCCCTTAACCACCATGCTTCTCCTGTTCTCTTGAATGGTTGGTTGAGTTTTTGATGTAACTTGGAGACTAGAGCAGCTCTGACTGGCTCTGCTGGTTTCTTCTCTGCTCATCTCACTCAGCCTGACACTTGATTCTGAGGTGATGTTGTCCCACTCTCCTGATTCCTCATTCCTGCTTAGTTCACTGTTCCTCCCCTGTCTTAGAACCCTGCAGTGGTTCTCTGCTGTTCCAAGGATAAACTCCAGTTACCTTAATTCGGCTTTCAGGCCTGCTTGATTTGACCTCTGCTCACCTCTTCCACATCGCGTCTCACCACTGCTCTGCCATTGACTGGTCTCTATACAAATGGAGGCATACTACCTTCTCTCTCTGCCAGGTCTGCCATATCCTATGACTTCTGTCCAGAACACTCCCCTCTTCATGTAACTAACTCTTCCTAATCCTGTAGTTTTCAGTCTAGCTGCCACCAGGATGCCTTCTTCACCCCTTGGCTGAGCTCGTTCCCTCTGGCTTACACAATGTTTTATGATCTTCCCATCACAACCCTTATCATACTGTGTGTAACTACTTGTTCCTTGCCTGTAATTTCCAGCAGACTAAATTCTGTGGGGGCAAAGATCTTGTTAGTTTTATTCTCCACTGTTTTACCAAGTGTCCAACTCAGTGCTCGCACATAGTAGGCACTTCAGTAAATACTTGGTTGAGGAATGGATGAGTGAATTGGGTTTGTTGTTCTGTGACAGGAATGGGAAAAGGACAGCACAGGATGCCCTCCAAGGATGAGCTGGTCCAGAGATATAACAGGATGAATACCATCCCCCAGGTATTAGTTGCTCTAATGAATCAGGACCTTCCCCTGGGGCTAATTTAGTCTGCAGAGGCAGGTGGGGAAACAGCTGGGGGTAGGGGTCACATGAGGATCATTTAAAGGAATCAAATATGTTCTGACCAGAACATACTTCTGGAGTCGTATATGGCCTCAGTCATATGAGGCAGAGACTGAGTTTATATGAAAATGTAAAGGTAGAAACTGTGACCCCATCCAGACTGAGTATGGGAAAGCAAAATTGGGGGTTGCTGGGAGCCCAGGATGTCCCTGATCCTCACCCCCAGTCATCACCAGCTGACTAGCCTCTCTAGGGAAGGCCATAACTGTCTGCCTGGCTCTGTTCTCCCCTGCCTCCTTCTCTTCCAGACCCGATCCATTCAGTCAAGGTTCCTGCAGAGTCGGAATCTCAACTGTATAGCACTTTGTGAAGGTACGTGCCTCACCCATGTCCTGTTGTTCTGGGTCCCCAACCTTTATTTTTATGCAACTTTGACACATGATCTGGCTAGGGGTGATGTTGAAGCATCATAGCTTTCCTCCTCTGCCTGAACTCTTTGTTTTGCATCTGTGACTCCTGGTCCCCTCCCTCCCAGTGATTACATCTAAGGACCTCCAGAAGCATGGGAACATCTGGGTGTGCCCTGTATCCGACCACGTCTGCACACGGTTCTTCTTTGTGTAAGTCTAGGAAGGACCCTGGGGTTATTTAAGGAGTGAGGGTGGGGGTGTGGCTCCTTAGGAAAGTCTGCTTCTGCTGTCTGAGACATGTCCCTGGCCATCTGAGTGCAGCTAATGCTGGGGTTTTCCCACTGAATGATGGGAATGTGTATAGATTATGGAAGTCTGTCTAGAGGAAGCCAGAAAAGCTGAATCTCTTCCTCTCTGAAGAGTAGCAAGAAAGGGTTTGACCTCTAGGATGGAATGACCACACCTTGAAGTACAGTTCTGCTGACTGACATTTTGGTGGTGTTTTCCCTCTTGTGCTCACACTTGTCCTATCTTTGGCAGATATGAGGATGGTCAGGTGGGCGATGCCAACATTAATACTCAGGACCCCAAGATCCAGAAGGAAATTATGCGTGTGATCGGAACTCAGGTTTACACAAACTGAGGGGAAATCAGCCCTCGTACCACCCCGTTCACCCAGGATCCATATGCCCTCATAAAAGGGCTCAGGTGCAGCAGGTGAGCCTGGCCTGAGGGATCAAGGGGCCATTACTGAGGGGCAGGAAAAGGATAGAGGAAGTGGCCTTCACGCTGCAGCTTGACCCAGGAACCACTGCACATTTGGATGGCCCAGACTGACTCCAACCCCTGACTTTCCCAGTTGACTTCACTCTGTTTGTAAATAAAACAATAAAATGGAAGGTGCTGTGGACTGGATATGATCACTGTGGTCTGACTAGCCTTGGCTCAGCACCTACCCCAGGCCCCCACTTGGGGGTGGGGAGAGTGGAAAATTCTGAGGCCTGGACTGTGTGTGCTGCATCAAATCAAAGCCGAGTCCATTTAGTATAGCGTACTACAGCTCTCTCAGGTTTTTAATCAGTGGAGTAAAGGGAAACTTACCAGTAATGCAGATGAAACAGACTAAGGATATATGGGGGGGACCCCAAAGAAACAGAATTTACTTAGACCCACCCGGGTAACTTGGTGAGACCTTATCTCTACAATAAATCAAAAATTAGCCGGGCGTGATAGTACACACCTGTAGTTCCAGCTGCTTGGAAGGCTGAGGCGGAAGGATCGCAGAGCCCAGCAGGTCAAGGCCGGGGGCGTGCCACTGCACTCCAGTCAGGGCGATGGAGTGAGACTCCAACTCAAAACAAACAAGCAAACAAAAAAATTGTCCAACCGGGCTTGGTGGCTCAGCCTGTAATCCTGCACTTTGGGAGGCTGAGGTGAGTGGATTGCCTGAGCCCGTGGGTTCGAGACCCACCTGGGCAACTTGGTGAGACCTCATCTCTACAATAAATAAAAAAATTGGCCGGGCGTGGTAGCGCACACCTTTAGTTCCAGCTACTTGGAAGGCTGAGCAGAAGGATCGCTGGAGCCCAACAGGTCGAGGCTGTGGTGGCCGGGAGTGGCCACTGTACTCCAGTCTGGGTGATAGAGTGAGACTCCAACTCAAAAAAAAAAATTGTGTAGCCAGGCTCGGTGGCTCAGCCTGTAATCCCACGCCTTTGGGAGACTGAGGTGAGTGGATTGCCTGAGCCCGTGGGTTCGGGACCCGCCTGGGCAGCGAGACCTCATCTCTACAATAAATCAAAAAATCAGCCGGGCGTGGTAGCACATGCCTGTAATTCCGGTTACTTGGAAGGCTGAGGCGGAAGGATCGCCGGAGCCCAGCAGGTGAGGCTGCAGTGGCCAGGAGCGGCCACTGCACTCCAGTCTGGGCGACCGAGTGAGACTCCAACTCAAAAAAAAATAAAGAAAATTGTCTATTCTTACATGTTTAAATTTCAGCCACCTTCAGAGTACTCTCTGTTTGATGCAATACACCTACTGAGGCGCTTTTTTTCCACTGCTCAAAACAGTTTTTGATGCCTTTTAATGCTTCTGCCATTTTGTGTTTCATCTTTTCCATAAGGCAAAATGTTTCCCTTCAAGGACTTTTTTCATCTGCGAAAACAAAGAAAAAAGTCGCTCACAGAGAGAATGGATGAATAGGCAGGTTGGGCATGGAGTCATGGCATTTTTGGTCAAAAACTGCCAAACACTTAGCATGGTGTAGGCAGGTGTGTTGTCATGGTGGAAGAACCAGTCACCTGTTTGCATCAACTTGGGACATTTCTTCTGCAAATCATGATCAACCTTCTCAAAACTTCCACATAAAAACTTTGGTTGACCATTTGATCCAGAGGAATACATTTCAAGTATACTATAAGGGGTCCACCCTCCAAAAATCTAAAAGGTAATTCTTTCCAATACCTCTGATGACTTGGTCAAGATTTAAGGGTAGGGCGCAGTGGCCCATGCCTGTAATCCTAACACTTTGGGAGGCCAAGGCAAGAGGATTGTTTGAGGCCAGGAGTTAGAGACCAGCCTGGGCAACATGTCCAGACCCCATCTCTATAAAAAATAAACTTTGGCTGGATGTGGTTGTGCACACCTGTAATACCAGCTACTCAGAAAGCCAGGCTGGAGGATTGCACCCAAGCATTCAAGGTTGCAGTGAGCTGTGAGTGTGTCACTGCACTCCAGCCTGGGTGACAGTGAATCAATCACTGTCTCCAAAAACAAACAAACCAATCTCTGAGGTTAGCAAGGTGGTGAAAGAAGCAGCTTTTTCTAGTTGACTTAATTGTTCCAGTGAATTCCATCTTCTCCCTGTTGAAATTCCCACTGTGGCCCTTCTGCTGGCCTTTCAGGCTGTGCTTCTTGCACCCCAAATCCTAAGCTCCAAACAGAGCTGAGACAGTTAGACATTTCCAAACATTGTATGAAATATTAATGAAGAGAAGAAGGGATATAAAAATGAAAATACAAAACATTAAATGAAGCTGACTTTTCAAGGGAAGGCTTTTCATTTTGTTACAGCTTCTTGGTTTACAGAGCCCACCCTAGACTACTTACTGTCTGTTATTATGTTAAACAGACTTTAGTGGTGCCTTCTTAACTGGATACCTTACTCTGTTTTGTAGTTCCTGACCTGTTTAACATGCGGGTACCATTCCTTTTTTTTTTTTTTTTTTGAGTCAGAGTTTCACTCACCCAGGCTGGAGTACAGTGGCATACTCTTGGCTCACCACAGCCTTGACCTGGACACAGATGATCCTTTTCAGCCTCAGCCTCCCAGGTAGCTGGGACTGTATATGTGCCCCACCATGCCTGGCTAATTACAAGTACCATTCTTTTGTTTTGTCAGAGTCTCACTCTGTCACCTGGGCTGGAGTGCAGTGGCATGATCATGACTGCCACAGCCTCCACCTGCTGGGCTCAGGCAATCCTTCCGCCTCAGCCTCCCAAGTGGCTGAGACTGCAGGTGCACGCTACCACACCTGGCTATTTTTAAAAAATATTTTGTAGAGATGAGGTCTTGCCATGTTGTCCAGGCAGGTCTCGAGCTCCTGGGTTCAGGCAATCCTCTCTCCTCGGCCTCCCAAACTGCTGGGATTACAGGCATGGGCCACCACATCCGGCCACAAGCACGATTCTTAAGGTCCATTTCCCTAGGAGCTGTTTCTTTTTTTTTTTTTGAGTTGGAGCTGTTTCTTAAGCTCTGTTACCCCTTCTTGATCAAGACCAGTACGTTCTGACTCTATAAGTGTCCTCAGGCTCACTCCTACCATTCTGTTGTCAGGTCTAGGAGAAAACCTCTGCTAAATAAATGACCCATTACTGAGCCCACTCTCAGTGATATTCCTGCCCCTGGGAGAACTCTTGCAGCCCATCTGTAGTATTGGAGATAGTGAACATTTTTTTTAGTTCTTACTGGATAGGTGCTGGGCATCATGCTGAGCACTTTAGTATTTGCTAACACTTGGGGTTGCTTACTATGTGCTTTGTATTACAAACTTTCTGTATGTATTGATTCCTGTAATTCTCACAACAAGCCTGTGAAGTGGGTGCTGTTATTCCTATTTTGCAGATGAGAAAACAGAGGCACAGAGGATAAGTAGCTGGTCACATTCCACAGTGATGATGGGCAGAAGCTTTTCTTATCTTTGCTATACAGTTCTTGCAGACTCTACACTTATGCTTTCATTTAATCCTGACAACAAAGCTGGAAGATAGGTTTCCTTTAGAGAGTTTAAGTAATGTTCCTGAGGTCTCAGCTGGTTAGTGGCAGTGGTGGGTTTTAGCCAGATCTGCCCAGCTCCAGAACCTAAGCTGTCAGCTACTGATTCCCTAGAGGTTCTCCAGCTGTTCCAGCAGCTGAACCTAGGTGTGTGACCAGAAATGGTATAACAGCATTCCTGTTCAGTTTCAGAAATTGTTAACAGATTAGCTCAGTTGTAGGCATTTCTTATAATTCCTCCATCACTGGCATCTGATATAGCAAGTACCAGAAGGACAGGATGAGAGGAAGGAACAAATCATGTGGATCATCAGAAAAACTCAGTAGCTGAGCCCACCCATGGGTGTCTCTTCTTTTTAAATAGTATATGCAGCTGGGCTCGGTGGCTCAGCCTGTAATCCCCCGCTTTGGGAGGCTGAGGTGAGTGGATTGCCTGAGCCCGCAGGTTCGAGACCCGCCTGGGCAACTTGGTGAGACCTCATCACTACAATAAAAAAATAAATAAAAATTAGCTGGGCATGGTAGCGCATGCCTGTAGTTCCAGCTCCTTGGAAGGCTGAAGTAGAAGGATTGCTGGAGCCCAGCAGATCGAGGCTGCGGTGGCTGGGAGCGGCCACTGCACTCCAGTCTGGGCAACAGAGTGAGACTCCAACTCAATAAATAAATTAAATAAATAAATAAATACATAGTATATGCATAATGATGGTGTTTTTTTGCCAGTAAAATTGTAGTGAAGTCAAATACCATTTCACAGTGTTCTACAGAAAAGCAGCAGGACTTTTTGGGTCTAAGAAGTTTGAAAGCCACAGATGATAATATCTTATAAAATTCAAGACATATGTGAAGTAAATTCTTTTTTTTTTTTTTTTGAG